AGGTTGCGGGAATAGCAGCTTGTTCCTGGAGGGGAATGACGACGCAGGAGGTGAGAATACTTTGGATATACAGACACCTCTTTATTTAGTTTGATTTGTTTTAATGTGTGAATGTAAAATAGTTATAGCAGACGTACCGGCGATGATGAGTCTGGGGTGGAAGAGCCGGGCGTTTTCTTGCAGTCTGTCGTAGTCAATGTAGCCAGTATCTGGATTCACCTGAAAACATCACATCAAACCAAAAACATTAAAACAGCTTAACATGATATACAGAACATACTGTAAGCACAACACGGCTTTGGCCATAAGCCCATCTTTGTTCTACTAGCTTTCAGATTTTTACCACATTTATTAAGGATTTTTACTGATTGAATTATATTCATTTAAAAAACACAGAAATTAATCGAAACACAAAAATATGAAAAACGGTTGTCATCAAATAATATTGCATCCCCCACTCATACAAGCATGTACATACTTAATAAACAAACATTTTAATCTTGTTTTCTCGCTACTTAACAACTTTATTTTCTGTTGAAGGACAATTCACTGTTGTTAGTAAATGTAAGTGCAATTGCAAATAACTCTATTATTTTGTGTCGTTTTATAATTTGCTTTAAAAACTACAAGGGATTTGGTTTCGAGTTTGTTTGTTTTCTGTCAAATTGTCAGCATTTTGTTATCATTGCTCTCACGAGGATGCCATGTGCACATACTTGCAGTAATGAGGAATAATCTTGTTTAACTTGGTGCAGAACTCCATAATCGAGAACTAACTAAAATTGTATCAGAAAGGGACTTTTTAGGACTAGAAAAACAAAACTCAAAAACGAATGTGTGAGTCCTCCTCAACACAAGGCAAATCAAAGTGTTTTACAAAAATCACTTTTCATACCTGCTCAAAGAGAACATTGTGCTCAATTCTTATCTAAAAAAGTATTATTTGGTCTACGCTCTAATAGATACCGTACCAATGTTCACATCTTTATACAGCACTCTGTAGGACTTTCTGTATGGCTGTGAATTTAAAAACATGCGATTGTACCTTGTACGGCATGGACTCAAAGAAGATGGACGTTGCGGATATTTTCTTCTTCTCAGTCATGAAGCCGTGTGTCAGGTGACCTCCATCAGGAAGGTCCAGCCCCATGATCCTGCCGTGAGGCTCCACAACGGCCGTGTAGACGGCAAAGTTAGCGGGTGAACCTGACAGGGAAGCAAAGACAAAGGTATGACAACTAGAAAAAGCAAGAAGTAAAGAGGAGGCAGTTGAAATATTTAAAGGTCCCCTATTATACTGTTTTTCATCAATATATTATAGGTCTCAGATATATACAGAACATGTCTCTGAAGTGTTTGGCTCCAAACACCAAACAGATCATTGCAGCATCCCATAATCCCCTCTGTTTCAGCCCTGTTTCAAAAGTGCTGATTTTCTGTCTGTTACTTTAGATGAAAATAAGGAGCCCCTCCCCACGCCCCTCTGAGAGAGATTTGGTTAAAAAGAACACAATGGTGCTCTAGGAGGAGATTCGGGTGATAAGGTGTGTGGGGGGGGGGGGGGGGTTACCTTGGTTGGTGATTGGCTAATGGTTACACAAGCCAAAAAAATCGATATGACATCATAAAGTGGCCAAAATCTGATCAGCTCATTTTCAGACAGGTTTTTATATAAATGGATCAGGACAAAAAGAGAGAGAATCTTTGTTCCTGAAACTTTCAGAGTCTCTTTACACAGAGGGAACACATGTTTATGTAGAAGAGACATGAACAAGTGGATTTTGCATAATAGGTGACCTTTAATTTTGTTTGGTTTTATGTATAATTCACTATTTGGTACCCGAGTAAGGCTGCACGTTGACGCCCCATTTCTCTGAGTCCAGACCATACGTCTCCAGCGATCTCTTCTGACAGAGTCTCTCCAGCTCATCAACATGCTCCGTACCGCCGTAGTACCTGAACACATCATAACGATTGTTACTGCTATGCTAGTTTGATATTAAACAAGAAGAAGAAAGCTAAATGCACATCTTGAAGGCTGTAATCACATTGGGATTTCATAGTTTGTCAATTGTTGTACCTCTGACCGGGATATCCCTCAGAGTATTTGTTGTTCATGCAGGAACCCAGAGCCTCTAAAACGGCTCTGCTGGTGAAGTTCTCGGACGCTATGAGCTCCAGCCCGTACGTCTGCCTGTGCTTCTCTTTTTTTATGATGGAGAACACCTAAACCAAAAATAAACACAAATACTGTTTGTTTATGGAACGATAACAACTCGTCAAACAAGCTCCTAAGTGTCAAAAAATTCTTAAGAAATGATTAAATGTGAAAATAATGACCATTCTTGTCAGTTCAGGTTCAGAAATGTTGCAATGTTTACATCCAAACGCCTCCAAAAAACTTCAAGTTTTTTTTTTTTAAAGGAAATTATTACTGCTAACCTCTCCATAAAATGTTATCTTAAAATCCATTGAAAACAAACCTCAGAGTCGCTGACGGACAGAGGATCCAGCATCATCTGGTTGTGTGAATCCCATGTTTCTTTGCTCACACTGTGGCCATTAGTCAAAGACATGGTTTCTCTGTTTCACTGGTCACTCAGAGAGGAAATCTGAAGAGGAAGACAATGCTTTATTTAGAGATCAAATATGAATCATAAAATCAGAATCAGGTTTATTGCCAAGTAGGTTTATTACAAGGAAGTGGCTTTGGTGTACAATGGGCCATACATACAGTATACACAGTCAGAGGAATTGAAGATAAATGTTTACAAGAATTATATATACATACAACTAATTATATATGCAAGAAACTGAGCACAAATATGAGAAATTACTCAAAAAAGCCCCAAAACATGTGCAGTATAAGAATTTAAAGTGGAGAGCATTGAACAGAAATGTGTTAAATAAACAGAGGAATGTGTAGAGTTCATAAGACATAAAAACACTGTTGATACAAGGCAAAGTATTTTCATTGAAATGCTGAATCAAGAAAATATTGTGGAAATACAATATACAAGTACAAACAGATCCATTATCCTCAGACAAAGGAGAACTCACGCAGCAGTGATATGGCCTCACCAGTTACACTTTGAACCATTACACAAAAAGAAAAGCAAATGAACTGCAGAAACTGCCAAAACAAAGGTTGTTAGGCAACTCAGATAACACGTCTACTGTGACGTTTTGTGTACAGTTGCCAAATGTTTATCTGAGGCTGTTTGTCCTGGCGACATTTAAAAAGTCACTGCAGGTCAGTCGTGTTGCTCAACAGTTAGCACATGACTCCTGTTACCTTTATTATCCACTCTATCTGATCTACTCATACAGTAGATGCCCAGTAAGACCATCCTGCCACCAAGAAAACAGCAGACACATTGTGCATGCACTGCTGCATTTTTGGGGAAAGTTGTTTTGGAGGTATAAAAGTATATATTTTTTAAGTAGCTGTTAAAATGTGCTTTTAACGTTAAATTATCCCCACAGAAACAGTTAAAGTTACTCATTTTAATACTATTATAAAAAATGAATACAATATTTACACAACAATTTTGTGAGAAACTGTGTAGGCTACAGTAAAATATAATAAAATATGACAGTACTATATTCAAGTGCAGCAGGTTTAACAAGAGGTCGCGTGGAGCAGAAATGTGCAACATGTAGTCGCCTACAGGATTTACAATATTAAAAATATATCGTTCGCATGATGTGAATTATGATGTTGCATAATGTTTCTCTGAGGTGGATAACATTTAAGTAGTTTGAGGTATAAAAGTAATTTGTGTCATGAAGTGTAAAGTACAAGTAACCTCCAAATTGTACGTGCAGGTTTAACAAGAGGTCGCGTGGAGCAGAAATGTGCAATGTTTTTCTGAGGTGGATAACAGTCACTGCCAGTAGCATAAAGTTAAGCATGAAGTGAAGAGGTGTTTAAACCCGGTAGTTAGCACGAGTTACAACTGATAAACGGCTAGATATATAACAGCAGTGCGGACCTAACCACGCCGCGGAGTGATACCAATTACTCCTATAATAACAACAAACGGTGCCAGATAACACATTAAAATGTTATTTTCTACCTTAGTTTCATATTTTTTAACATGTCCTCCTTGTGTACATTAACTAGTTATTATTTCACTCACCAGTATAGTGTAGGCTGCAGCTGTCACACTCACTTTACGACTGAAATGTGAGCACGGGGCTGAACAAAAAGAGCCTCACTGCGGAGGATAAAGTCCGCCAAACTTTTGACCAATCCGCTCCCTGGCTCTTCTTCTTTCTCAGTATTGTCCACCATGTTGGCTGCATTACTGCCACCCTCTGCTCACTGTGTGGACACTTTATGTTTTATAATCATGTAGTTGTGTATTTCTGTCACAGGTGGGAAGTTACTAAGTACATTTACTCAAGTACTGTACTTAAGTACAATTTATTTGAGTATTTCCATTTTAGGCCACTTTGTAGGCCTACTCCTAATCCACTACAATTCAGAGGTTAATCATGTACTTTTACTCCACTAAATGTATTTAATACCTTAGTAGATTTGGATTAATGATGTGAAATATATAATCAACAATTAAATTAGACTTTAATTACACCTGGAGTAAATCCACAAGCTACCCTGCAGTTTACAAAGTCATTCAAACTAGCTGCACCTTTACCAGCTTTGATAACACTTTAATGCGTCAATATTTATAATCAAAACATATAATATATATTATTCTGGCCCATAGACTAAATCTCACCCTTTATTGCCCTTCATAAGTTGTTCAGTAGTTCTAAAATGTTTTTTTCTACACTATATCTACTACTGATGTCAGGGCCAGATAAACCCACATCACTCGTTACTGATTGTTACTGCTGTGCACAGTCCTATCTTCACTGTCAGTGAATCTGCTTTTTGATTTATCTCATTTTCATAACAGTTGACTCAACATGGACTCTTGCGCTCGAGGCTAGTCGTAACAGTTTTCTCACAGGGAAATAATGCTAACAAGAAATGTACTGTACACATTTTACTGTTTTCATCATAATAATCTGAAATATTTCCATGAATCAGTTATGTACAATGTGAGCTCCGGAAAAACATAGTGGCAAAGCTGAGTTAGCAAAGTCGAACTTGTACAACGACAAATATATCGTTAATAATATCATGTACAAGATCATAGGTTAGGAGGGGTTCATTCCAAAGTGCACGTGAAGACAGATTTATTCATCGGTAACTTCCTGGAGGGATAAACAAGGCCAAAATATACACAACCCCTCTCCACTGGAGTCTCAGCAACCATCTTCCAAATGGTCACATGAACCAGTAACGTGGACATCATTCGTCCTTTAAAAATAGTCAAATATATTTTGCGCCAGTCCGTGAACATGTAAAAGTGCCTCTGATCAAAACTGTCCATCATTTCATTGAGAGGGAGTTCATTCCTTTCGCCGCTGCTGCTGCTGCCTCTTTTGCTGCAAGCAGAAAATAACAGAGACACAATCAGCTCCACGTGATGCATGAATAAAATCAGCTATAGCATCATTTAGAACAGTGGTTCTCAACTGGTCAGGCCTCGGGACCCACTTTTTACTTGGTCAATACATCGCGACCCAACATTTTGAAGCACTCAAATCTATTCAACAAAATATCGTGCTGTAATATATACGCTTTTGAGCATACAATATTAATAAAAGTGAAGTACAGTGCATATATCCCTTATATCCCTTCACAGAACTAAAGTATGCTTTTAAAAAAGGTTTAATGAGATGATGGAATCAAAGCTGAACTATATAAAAAGGCACACATGCTGAAACCCAACCCCAGCAGGGGGGTCGGGGGATTCTCCCCCAGGAGATTTTTAGAAATACTAACATAAACTACGCATTCTGGTACACTCTGAGAAGAAAATCGGGCCTTCAAAATAAAAGTTTGAGTTTTTCCCCAAAAAAAAAAAAAAAAAATTCAAATTTTTTTTTTCAAATTTTTTTTCTTCACTCACACATCCGCGACCCACTCGAAACGGGTCCGCGACCCACTTTTGGGTCGCGACCCACCAGTTGAGAACCACTGATTTAGAAGACATGGAGAAAACTGCATTTGTTCTTGTATTTGTAGTGCTTTGGTGCTGTTTGGCTACAGACAATAGAGTGAGTGAAGATTTTGTTTGCAGTTTGTTTCCCGTTAAGTGGTATTTAAATATAGCTCTTAGTGTAAGAGTCCTCTTTTTGTTATGTTTCTGTTATGTCCTCATTTTGTTTACTATTGTTTGTATGCATTTAAATGTAGTACTGTCAATAAATACCTTTATTTTTAGAACATCTGGGTTGTGTCCCTAACCCCTAACAAGCTAGGTTATACAACTTGTGTCATGATTATGATAATAAAAAAGATGAGATCAGACAGTTATTTAATTGTTCATATTCAATAACTTGTTTCCCTACTTAGTTAGACAAATAAAAAGGTTATATTTTTGCTTTTTTGTTGGTATTTTCATGGAATTTCTTTCTTCAACCTTTACATATGCATGTCTAACTTTTGCAGGCACACAAATTATAAATAAATCAAGTATGTTCGATATCATTTTGATTCCTCTTGATGCTCCGAGTCTCATTCTAGAGACGAGAAAACGTCATCTCTATGTTGAGAAGAATTTGTGCAGTTTTTTCATAATGACAGTGAGTTTTCATGGCCACATTAGGTAATAAATACAGTAGAGTTTTTCTGGCAACATATTTAAAACAATTACCACATTCAAAGTTTTGCTCACCTTTCTTCTCTGCTTCTTTCTTTTTCGCCGCGTCTTCTCTCTGTTTCTTGATGATGGCGAGGCGAGCGAGGTCGGCTTTGGCCTGATCCGTCTTCCCCGCCAAGTGCATCTTCATGTAGCGCTCCTTCGCCTGCTGCTTCTCTATCTCCTCTCTGTGAAAGTGACATAAGGAAAATCATTATCAAACATGGGGAACTGGAATTTTACAGACATAAAAACATCAACCTTCCAGTGTTATCTTTAACACGCAGGGCTTTCCGTAGAATAGCACTCATCGAACTACTCTCAAAATATGGTAGAAATATGTTTATTTTAAACACATAACATTTTGGGATTTCTTATCAAATGTCATGGCATGGGGTGTCTACTGTTAAAAGGGACAGTTTACTCATCATCAATAATACACATCGTTCGTCTTAGCAGTAGTGCTGTTTGTCAATATAGTTTGTTTTGGTGTGGGTTGCCACGTGTTTCATGAGCAATTTCATTTAGGAATAATTTTTCCTTTCGACTAAACCAGGCAAACAAGTGAGTGAGCACAAGCCTCTAGTCCACATTACTATTAGATCTGGCCCGCCGGTATATTGCACGCACACCTTCACTCAATCCTGAGGATTACCTCAGCTCAGAGCCTGAGCCCAAACATTGATGAACTTGCACCCAAGATGAGATGCCAAGTATCTGGCTTGAACTAGCATCACAGCAGCAAACTGAGTTTCAATGGATGTTTCCTTCTGCACTTTGTTTCTTGAGACAACAGGGCAGGTTTGGTTTGTTCTTTGAGGGAAATAGTTTTTTTAAAGCTGTTGGCCTATGGAGAAATGTAATCATATGAAATGAATCAGCAGATAGAGCCATAAGAAATGAATGCAACTGATTATTTAATGTTTAATGTTGTTTTTATAGGCAATAATTTAAGCTTTGTTAGTTCCAGGTTTAATATGTGCAATAAGTTCATTTCAATAAGTTTTGCAATAAACATTGAACCAGTCCGGCCCTCGACTAGTACCCATTTTTTTATTTTGGCCCACTGTGTATTTGAGTTTGACACCCCTGCTCTAGTCCATGAGTAGAGAGACGCTTTGTTCTGCCCACTTATACAGTAGAATGAAAACAGTTCCTACATGAAACTGCTAACAACAGGGCCTTTGGACTATCTTGAATAACCGGGTCATGATTTCTAGAAAGAGACATTGATGTTGAGTTTTCAAAAGCATTTTTTTGTCGCTTTGAGCACACAAAGAGTGCCATCTAGTTCCATCATATTGGAGATAAGGCAGATTTCTCCACAGTCAATTCTCTAACACTGCAAACAACACCAAAACAATCTATGTTGATAAATAAACTACTACAAGTAAAAGGAAAGATACTTGTGTTATTGGTTTTGGGCTGAACTGTCCGTTGAGGAAGGTGTTTTCACTTTATGTTAAAAATGAATTTGAACTTAGCACTGATACAATGAGGCACACAGAACACACACCTCTCTCTCCTCGATAACTGCTTGGGCTCGTCCATCTCGATCTGCGTCACCTTCTTGGACTTCTGAGCCACTCTGTTGGGGTTCTCGATCTCTATCAGGCCCTCCACACCCGCTCTCCTCCTCTGCAAACACATGACAACAGCACACAGTAAGGAGAGAATGCTTTGAACACAGCAAACAATGAACTGACTACATGAACACGTTTATACGACACTGCCATGCAGATATAAATGTTACAAGGTGCTTCACAGGATCCCATAAATTACTCATAGTTAGTTATCATACATACATCTGAGTTTTCATCATCGCTGTCTTCTGATCCTGATCCTGGTAGCTTCTCCTCTGTCAGGTCATTCGGAGCTACACCCCCCGCTGCTTCTGCTTCCTGCTCTTGCTGTAACACAAAAATGAGGAGACCACAAACCGGAGAACGTTATTAAACCAAAGCATCAGGTCAAACACAACAGAGAATATCAATCCATGCAGGGTTTTACTCCATTCAAACACTACAGCAGCTGCTTTCACAAATCAGTTCCTCTCTAATGGAAGCTGGAGTGCTAGTGAGAGTCTCAGGGGGGCAGACATGTTAGAAAAGTCAAGTTTATTTATAAAGCACATTTCATACGACATGTGTAGACCATAGACTGTATATATATAAAGGTGTAGACTCAATGTGCTTCAATACAAAAAAGCAGAAGTAAGTACATACGCAAATATCATGTGACCAAAACATATAGGCTTAAGATAGGAACATAAAAAGGCATTACAATGAAAAAGTAATAAGATATTAGTTTATGATTATAATTATTATTTAAAAAGGAAATAATAATAATGATACTAAAAATGTCATTTTACCCGTTCACCATACAAATCATTGTTCTTTTTTATTTATTCATTAATCTCGCTGTATTTTGTATTAATCAATAATTATTTAACTGGCACACAAGATAAATAAAAAAACGGGTGATGTGTTAAAAACTTTTGGTTTAATTAATACTCTGGTTGCAGCATTCTGAATAAGCTGTCAATAAAATCCGACCACTTAGTTAGTTAAGTGAACTTTCCAAATGAAATATTAAATTGCATTTTGGAAAGTGTACCAATGCTTTATTAAAAAATAGGACATGTATAGAGAGTCTTTGGGTGAACCCCGACCTTCTTCCTCTCCTTCTCTGCTTTCATCTGCGCGTCTATCTCATCGGGGCTCGTGTAGGTCCGCATGCGACCCTTGTGGCCACCTTTCCTACCTGCAACAATAAACCAAGATAGAAAATGACACCACAAACTGATTTGCATATACAGTGTAAACAAGGGTGAATCTGTGACCAGACAGGTGTCCATAAAGGTACAAATAAAAATGCTGTCAGAGCTTTCTTACAATAAAAATAACAACCCAAGCACAGATTTGTCAAATTTGATACCTGGATTATTGCCTGTTATTTGGGAGGCTTGACAGCAGGTTAGGAGATGTACAGAACTAATGTCAACACAATGTAAGCATGTTTTAGGTTAATTCTTACCTCCTTTGGGCATTTTGAAGAACAAATCCTTCGTTAAGAACTCCTTAACAACTTAATACTAAAGTACACAGTACAGTACACAAGTGTCAAAACAGAAGAACAAACTGACAGCTGCTCCACAGCAGGGATGAGTATAGAAATACTCTGAGTAGTCCAAGTATTTGCCTTTTAACAAATCTATTATAAATGGATTTTACCACACATGTAATCACGGATTTGCTGCTTTAAACCAGACAATGTGATTATCTCGGTATATTCTTTAGTTCTTTGACTTAATTATGCGAGTAATAAAATACTAGAAACAAAGCTATGTTATTTTTGGTCAGGCATTCTGTTAGTGTTCTAATGTGACGCAATACACCAGTAACGGTAACAGTTGGTTAAATATCAGCGAATATGTGTAAACTGACATTAATACGTGTTTAATTAAAGGTGAATGGTGAGTTACTATATCATAAGATAAAAATAAATTGTTAAACGCTGATTAATAAATTATCTACATTTGGAGTGGTGACGTCATTCGAGGGACGAGACGTTGAAATGGACCCCTGCGTGACGTGAATTATTGGCGCCTGAGACGAGTGTTTCGCAAAATTAAAAACGAAAACACGGAGATTTTTTTGTTCTTTATATTTCTACAAAACAGAGCAAAATGCCCAAAGTAAAGAGAAGTCGCAAGCCTCCTCCGGACGGCTGGGAGCTCATCGAGCCCACTTTGGACGAGCTGGATCAGAAAATGAGAGAAGGTGAGCCGTTAGAAGAAGGGAAAGTACCAACGGTCCGAACAACATGTAGCCGCGAAGCTAAAGCTAAAACCCAACACGCAGCTAATATCAACATTTATTTATTCTCATTGTCTTTAAGAGATCTGCATTTAGTTTCTAGATGTTAGGTGTTATAATGAATCGATGCTGGTGACATTTTTAATAGATACACAAGCTGTTTAACACGATTGGAGGAAACTTGTGTTGATCATCTACCGTTCATCAATCGACTAGCTGCTATGTTTCAAGGTTTCAAGGCTTTTATTGTCATGTAGCTACAGTGTAGTTATGACAATGAAAGTATTAGGTCGCAGGCTGCTCCAACAGTGCAACAACAATAAAACAGATACTAGTGCAAGTTAATAAGAATATAATAGAAATAGTGCAGAATAGTAATTGGAATATTGATATATATATATAAGTTGCAAACGGATGAATGTTATGGGATGTTCTTTCAAAAGTTATAGTAATACGAGCCTTTACTTCTCATTGTCTTTATGAGATATGCATTTAGTTTAATGTTTTAATGAATCTATCCATGGTCAATGCTGCTGGTCACATTTTTAATATGGGAGGCGTGTGGCGCAGTGGGGTAGTGCGTGTGTGTTCGGATCAGTGGAGCACAGGTTCAAACCCCACTGCAGTCAGCATGTCCCTGAGACACTTCACCCCAAATTGCTCCTGTGGTCCACAGTATTGAGTATGTAAGTCGCTTTGGATAAAAGCGTCTAACAAGTAACATGTAATGTAATAGATACAAGCTGTTTAACACGATTGGAGGAAACGTGTGTTGATCATCTACCGTTCATCAATCGACTAGCTGCTCTGGAAGTGGTTGTAGTTAAATCCGATGCAATTGTTCAGTATTTATTATTGAAAGGGATTTTTTCCCTGTCATTTATGTCACCAAGCCACCATACAAGTATCGCATATTATGCATTGAACCGGGTCGTGTCAAGACTATTCTATTCAAAGAGTTAATATTCATACATTTTCCTTTGAGAGAGATCCCATGATGGACGATGGTCAAGAACAGAAATGCTTGAGTTAAGGACTGGCTTTCACCAATTTCCTACCAGCTGGATAATGAAAGAATAAACAACTAATTGAAAACTGAAGGCCACATGGCTCAAACTAAAATAAATCTATATTTACTGTATAGAGTTGTAAATAAGAATGAAGCATCAGCTAAATGAAATGTACTATTCACACTGAGCCCAAAGAGGAGCTTTACAACCCAATCAGTTGTATCTATTTTACATTTCTGCTAACCAAAGCTAACTTCTCTGTGTTTTTTTTCTATGTCCCAGCTGAAACAGAGCCTCACGAGGGGAAGCGAAAGGTGGAGTCGCTTTGGCCGATTTTCAGGCTGCATCATCAGCGGAGTAGATACATCTACGACCTCTTCTACAAAAGGAAAGCCATCAGCAGAGGTACACAGAGTTTAATCTCTACCTGTTGAATTGTCTAATGTTTCCCACTTTCACTTCTCTTGTTCTTCTTTCATCTACCTCAGCATTTGTATACAATGCTACCTTGGAAGTCAGACATAGAGTATATGTTATCTGTTGAAATGTGTGTTTGAATAACATTTTAACGTGTTACTAAATTACTTGCCAAGATTTTTTGCGAATATGTGTCACACTTCTTAAAGGTGGGGTAGGTAATTCACTTCAGAAACACTTTTTGTTATATTCCATGGAATGCTCTTAACATCCCGATAGCAATGAATACATTAAATGCTTTGACAATAAATACATAAAAAAATGTCATCTGTGGAAGCCGTGGCGCTGTAAAAAGCACGACCAATCATCTGAGCCGGCCCGGCTAAAATAACTGGTTGGCCTACCTGCTTGTCAGCCTTCCATCTCGTGCACAAACTTATCTCGTGCCCTCATTGGTCATGTGCACGTTCGTGTGTGTTGGAGGAGGGGCTCTGTAAGGAAGTCTGAAGGAAGGGGCAGATTTTTTGCGGTTGTGTACTTTCAAATTCTAGCGCACTCCAGCTGGTTTCTCCATTCTTACCTACCCTACCTTTAAATCTCCTTTTATGTAGGTAACAATTGATTGAGAATTCAACATTTCCAGAATTCTTATTTTCCTGAATAATTTATTTAACATTGTCCAGCGTTTTTCCCCCCTTTTTTTTTAAAGCATTTATACAGTTACAGTCATACTACACTAGATGCCTAACAAGTGATTCTCCCTGTGTGTCCCCTGACAGAGCTGTATGAGTACTGTATAAAGGAAGGCTACGCAGACAAGAACCTGATTGCCAAGTGGAAGAAGCAGGGCTACGAGAACCTGTGCTGCCTGCGCTGCATCCAAACCAGAGACACCAACTTCGGAACCAACTGCATCTGCAGAGTCCCCAAGAGCAAGCTGGAAGTCGTAAGTCTGACAGATTTCTTAAAAATGATTCTCACTAATCTTTCAAAACGATCCCTTTTTAGAGAGTTTGTCTTCGTGTCTAAATGTGCCTTTTTCCCCTTTCTCCTCTGCAGGGAAGGATCATTGAATGCACTCACTGTGGTTGCAGAGGATGTTCTGGCTGAGTGACGTTTTTGGACATCCTGCCTTTTTCTCGCTGAGGATCGAGGCTCACCCAGCCTCCATCTGTGCACTCTCAAAACCTCAAAGCAACCTTGTCATTATTTCAGTCGCCGGCATCAGAAACAAATCACTGAGACCTTCAGCATCACGCTCAGTCGCCCTTACAGGGATCAGTATTTGGTATTTTCAATAACAAGGTTAGCGAAGAAGAGTAAATGAGAGGGGGCATATTGTACTGCTTACATTTGTTTATCTGTGTTTTTTGTATCTAACTAAAGCCTTCGACTTGTTGAGGTTAGCTGATTCTGGATCAGGACGTCATTCCAGCTGGTCTCCCACTGTGTAGGTCATTTAAAAAATCTAATGTTTCATTTCATTTAAAGAGTGCTTGGGGAAATTTTGTTTTGAAATGTCAATGTTTTAAACTTTTTCTTCATTTGTTTTTGTGATGTCATTTTAAATAAAACCATTCTGATTTACCTGTTGTTCTTTTTTATATTTCATGATTCAATTAAAGGTGGGGTAGGTAATTCACTTCAGAAACACTTTTTGTTATATTCCATGGAATGCTCTTAACATCCCGATAGCAATGAATACATGAAATGCTTTGACAATAAATACATAAAGAAATATCATCTGTGGAAGCCGTGGCGCTGTAAAAAGCACGACCAATCATCTGATTTTTTCCGGTTGTGTACTTTCAAATTCTAGCGCACTCAAGCTGGTTTCTCCATTCTTACCTACCCTACCTTTTAAGGTATGAAATTACTCACCTGAATTATGATGGAAATATCCTTCTAGTGGCAATCTCTGCAGAAACATCTTTCTGTAAAGTGAAGCACAAACATTCAAATATAGGAACAACATATTTTTTAGTGGAGGGGAGTTTTGAATAACTTTATTGGCTGTTTCCATGTTATTCAAAAAGAGACGACAATGCACATTTTTACTGATAATTGATTGATAATTTAATTTAGCACTATCCCTTTCCCCCCACCAACAGCCAAAACCACACTTTTGTAATATTTTTCAGTAGAGTAATATAACTATGTACATTTACTTGAGCACTGTACCCAACTACAATGAAGTAGTTTTCTGGAGTATTTAATTAGTTTTACTACCCTACACTTCTACTCCATTACAATTTGGAGTCAAATATCTTCTTGTGGATAACTTGAGTCGTTACTTTGAAGTTTTAGGTTTAAAGGTCCCATGTCATGGCCATTTCTACTGATCATAATTCCATTGTTGAGGTCTATTAGAATAGATTTATATTGTGCAATTTTCCAAAATCGCATTGGTTTCTCATACAGCATCTCTGTATAGTATGTGTATTCACTCTCTGTCCTAAACGGCTTGTTGGAGCTCCTGCCCCCCCCTCCCTATGAGCCCAGTGGCCGTCTGCGAGACAGCGAGACACAGCGAAGCCAGCCCGAACACACACACACACCCGCAGCCTGGCTGGGAGTTTGTGTGTGTGCTCACACACCGACTCACAGCCTCGCCGCGTCCCGCCGTCTCAGGGAGGAGAAATCGGCGGAGCAGCAGCTGAGAAAAGATTGAGTGTGTGAGGAAGTCCGCGGATTGGTCCAAATGTAACGGCTCCGCGGACGTAACATAACGGCTCCACAGATTGGTCCATTTGGGCCAATGGGTCCATTTGGGTATGGGCACGTCACTGTACCCAGGAAGAAAAAGAGAAATCTCCAACGAGGCGTTCTGGGGCAGCATAGACAGGTCTTTTCTGTGTTAGAGTTTTACTCGCTACAGGGTGTACTTTGAGGGTTTGTGACTCTGCAGACCGTTTACATGCATAAAAAGCTCCATAACACACAAGGGGACGGGTAATAACCGGAAAAGCATGACATGGGACCTTTAACTTATATACTATCAATATATATTATACATTTAACTATGTGATTAACATTTGTTCCACATTTTCTAGTTGCAATATTAAATGAATGAACACATGAATGCATCAATAAAAATAATCCAATAGTATATGTATTCTGACATGAGCGATTCTGCATAATAATAATAATTCATTACATTTATTTTAGCGCTTTTCCAGATGCTCAAAGCATGAATGAATAATTATTTTACAATAAATACATTTCATAATAATGAATCCATTTACGTAGTACTTTTGATGCTAACACTTTAATTGAAATACATTTTTGAATGCAGGACTTCACATTATAACAGAGTATTTCTACTTGATCTCCAGCAGAGCAATTAGCTTTCACAGCATTTATTATTCATGACACCTCAACTCTCCCACATCCGTCATCGCTAAAGCAAGTCACACATGACTGTTGGAGTGTTTACTGAAGAGCTGAGGGAAGCTTTCTGTCAGTATCTCACAGAGAGAGAGAGAGAGAGAGAGAGAGAGAGAGAGAGAGAGATCCACACACACACACACAAAAGGAAATGGATTCAAATAATTTAATGGGATAAATGAATATCAACAACATTTACATCAAGCGGCAAAGACATTCACAACGTGCTTTAGTCAAATCAATGGCATCAACGCCGCCTCAAGTGAGCACGACACCCCCTCGTGATGAGATACAAAAGGTGGGCATGACATGGCAACATAAGGACACTGAGTGACGACGTGTTAAGCACACTGTGGTATGGCTTATCAGATTACATTCACCTTTTTGCATTATAGGGAGGAAACTTAAAAAAATAGCAGTAAAATGTGTTATTCAAGCATTAAAGAAATATTAAAAATACATCACTTGGCAAAAAAAAAGATTGAGCATTAAACTGAAATATTACATTAGAGTTAAAAATGTAAGGTAGCTGTGAGTTAAAATTAAAAAGTGTCTTTTCGAAGCAGGAAGGGCAGCAGCCGCGATGCCACGTTCTTTTGACCTTTCACAATAAACGTCTGACCATGCAGTCACAAGTACATTTACCATTCTAAGATACGGAATTACATCTCCAATACTGACGCCACAGAATTAGTCAAATCTGGAAATACCATCGATACGCTTCTGAAGTGTTGTTAAACTGGCCGATGTGGCAGAAACTTAAAGGGGCCCTATTATGCTGATGTTCTGGTTAATATTTGTATTTAGTTCCTCTCCTGTGACATACTGCCTGTGCTGCAGCACCTCTTTTCACCCTCTGTCTGAAACCAGAGCCCAGTCTGCTCTGATTGGTTAGTTGGCCAGCTCGGATGTGATTGGTCAAATACTAAGAGATGTCCCGCCCCTTAGCCTATCACATTCAATATGTTGGAGCTCTAGCCACTGGGAGCACGAATGTTAGATAGTGATGTCAATATGTCACGGAAGTAAACAATAGGAGTCCAACGGAGGTGTTTCAGGCAGGGGGCGGAGTGCGTGTGGGAGAGAATTTAGCCTTTGCCGACCATTTACATGCACTAAAAACCCTTGTAGCACACTAGAGGAAAGGGAAAACCCCAAAAAGCATAATAAGGCCTGTAAAAGATTTCCTTTTTTTCTCCAGAATGCTGCGAAGAGAAAATCGAAGCGTACTTATCATGATGGTCATAATCCAAATTTGTCCTAAAGCAATAAATACACACAAGTTTTGTCCATTTCACACATCCAGCAATGGCTGCTCAGAAGAAAAATAAATAATAGGCAGCTGTCCTAATTCAAGTTAGCTCGTTTTCGATGGCACAGGAAATCATTCTTTCCCCTATAATAAACTCTATAGAACATCATCCCTGTCACCTCAAACTCTTTCAGCATCTTCATCCAATTACAACGAAACAGAAATATTATCAACACGGTGATTCACCCGAGCACAAGACAGTCTCATGCTGACACCACAACACTCTCAGACAACTTTTAAGACAACAGTGAAATTCAATACATTTAGGTTTAAGTACATTTCCTGCACGGTGTGAGTAATATCCATGAAAATGCTCCGTGAGCCCTTAATAGTGACACCGGCCCAACATGGGTGAGTATGATTTCCGGACATGCAAATATCACATGGGGCTCTCCGTGTGTAGTTCACGCAGCACATATTACTTTCTCATGCATCGCCAACTTAAGGTAAGGAATGTTTAATCCATGCCCACAAATCCACTCAGCTTACATCCAACATTGTGTCTCTATTTGGATATAAAATGAAGATTGCTGCAGGAATGTGCGTTTGAAATTGGCTCATAAAAGAAATATAAAAAAGGAATAGGCTTCAGGAGGTTAATTTGGAAGAGAGGCATGTCACAAAACCAGCTGTGATAAGCCTGCTGATAAGATTTCACGGGCAGACAATGTCAGCATACGTGAGAATGTTGCAGTAATCCTAAAAATACATAGCTAAGATTATCATAGCTGAAAACTGTGATTGGTGGATGTCAACACAGAGCTATGGTTAGCTAACACAAGAGTGTGTTTGTGTGCTGAGGAGAAAGGGCGGAAATGACCCTAAACAAGCCAGCGCAAGTAACATTTCCATTAAAACACACAATGACAATAAGTACCACTGACCTTCGTGTGCTGTGTTTGGTTTGTGATTGTGTTCTGGACCAAATACAGACAAAATGCTCACTGACATTCACAACTGTCTCTGTTTTTCTTCCCGTAGAGGAAGAAGGACGACAAGACAAAAAGACAGCAAGGCAGAGAGAAAGACAGCTTACACACTAAATAAAACAATAACTATTTAAGAGGTTTTCCTGGAAATAAAACTGAGCGTGGCCCTCTTTAAAATTATCCTTTGGTCCATTTAAAAACAAAGAGTCGACGATGATATTTGCTAAAACTATATGTGGGAATCCTCAGGTTCAAATCAGATTTTGTATAAAACGCTGGTGGTGTAGTTGAAGGTGAAGCTGGTTGCCGCTGCGCTGCCCCCGGTGGCGGGTTGCAGGTAGTGCTGCGTGACGAGCTGGTTGAGGTAGAGCAGGATCTGGCTGTCCTCGTGCCCCAGACCCAGCTGTTCCTGCAGGAAGCAGCGGCGCCGGCCCTCCACCCCCTCCGGCCCCTCGGTGCAGCTGACGGGGAGGTGCAGGTGGTGGGTGAAGGTCAACAGGAAGGCCTTGGCTGCCATCTCACACAGCGTGCTCTGCAGGTGGAGGAAGAAGGTGGAGCCGCGGCGGATAGAGGTGCGATGGTCGGCGATGTTGGCGAGCAGCTGGCCTCGGTACGGAGGACAGCGCAGCGTTTTCTGGTCGACGTCCAGGATGGAGATGTAGCGGCTGTAGCGCGACAGAGAGTAGAGCATGCTGGAGCCGACAGGGGACGCCACTCTGTGGGGGGGGACACACACAGGGGGGTTAGTTGGCTTTATAAAGACAGCTTACATATACAAATAAATCTTTAATATGTTAGTTATTCTCCATGTTTGTGTTAAAATATGGATTGATGCATTGTTTTCCAATAACCTGTAGTGCCTTCACATGCCTTTTTATTTGCTGTATGATCTTAATGGCTTGCTTCCTCTGCAACACTTTATCTGTTTTCTTTTTGCTATTTAAGCTCCATTTATTGTATCAAATGTGTCATAATTATTATTATTATTATTATTATTATTATTATTTAATTCTTCCTTTTTTTTAATATGAATAACTATTTTTAACGATCTTTTTTGCCATTTGTATTGGGTGATATAACGGCTTGCTTTACTTGCAACATTAGCGCTGTATCTTTACCTCTAACCTTTTTAGTAAATATATTTCCTATTTATAAACTGCAAAACATAAATAAAAAATAGACTGAAATTATAACTATTATAGGGTTTACTTTAACTTAAAGCCACTAATATATACGTCCACATATAACATTTACCCCCTATAATTAGTTTAATGTTTTGTCTTTACAATTCTGTAATTTTTGGTGTGTCCCTTTTTGTACTCATTATGATTTAACTACAACTAAATAGCTATGACATACATTTACTGGTTTGTGCGCAAAGATGCCCAAAATTGAAAATCATAGGGTGTAAAAATGAATAAAATCCAGGGTAAAATTTCACAGAGGTGTCATGATTTGGTACCTCTTAAAAGTCCCATGTCATGCTTTTCCGGTTATTACCCGTCCCCTTGTGTGTTATGAAGGTTTTTCTGCATGTAAACGGTCTGCAGAGTCACAAACCCTCAAAGTACACCCTGTAGCGAGTAAAACTCTAACACAGAAAAGACCTGTCTATGCTGCCCCAGAACGCCTCGTTGGAGATTTATCTTTTTCTTCCTGGGTACAGTGACGTATTTGGGTATAGTGACGTAACGTAACGTCCGCGGAGCCGTTACGTTACGTACACACACACTCAATCTTTTCCCAGCTGCAGCTCTGCCGATTTCTCCTCCCTGAGAAGGCGGGACGCGGCGAGGCTGTGAGTCTGTGTGTGAGCATACACACAAACTCCCAGCCAGGCTGCGGGTGTGTGTGTGTGTGTGTGCTCGGGCTGGTTTCGGGCTGGGTTTAGCTGTGTCTCGCTGTCTCCCAGACGGCCACTGGGCTCATAGGGAGGGGGGGGGGGCAGGAGCTCCAACAAGCCGTGTAGGACAGAGAGTGAATACACATACTATACAGAGATGCTGTGTGAGAAACCAATGTGAGTTTGGAAAATTGCACAATTTACATTTATTCTAGTAGACCTCAACAATGGAATTATGATCAGTAGAAATGGCCATGACATGGGACCTTTAAAGGGGACCTATCATGCAAAATGCACTTTTGTACGTCTTGTATACATGAATATGTGTCCCCGGTGTTCCAGGGAACTCACCAAGTGTCAGAAAACACAACCCTCTCTATTTTCCTCCATACCCAAATCTCTAAAAAAGGGGCTGCAACGGATCTGATCAAAACTGATCCAGATTTGAACACTGTCCTGACGTCAGGACAGTGGCGCTACGGCTATTGGGCCAACTCCACCAATCAGGAGGAGACCGCCACGGCCATTGCCGTTCGAAAGCGCTGGAGACGCTGTAGTACATATGCCAGGCCTGTAAGTGGTGCTGTTCTCACAGAATCAACCCTTGCAAAAACAGAGCTATAAATTGTCAAATTGAGCAAAATGAGGCATGGCTAAAATGCATGATCCGTTTGGTATTTTGAAAAAAAAAAAGTATAAATATGCCTTACATAGGTATGGTCCTACACTATATTATTCAAATATAGCATGATAGATCCACTTTAAGCTATGAGCATCTACTGAACCAATATATAATACACCCAGAGGTTTCTGATCCACGTCATAATCCCACCAGACCCCCCCCCCCCCCCCTTCTGACTCACTCAGCTCCTACAACTTTATCTACAAAGAAATGTGGTCTCTTCTCTTAAGGCAAAATATTGGATTACTCTGAAGCCCACAATCATTACGAAGATGAGCGAAATGGAAAATAATCTGAAGGATGGATTTGAGGCCGGAGGGTTAACAGTTGAATAGTTTTTTGCGTGAGTCATCGAGGAATGAGTCACACAGGATGAGTAACTGTATAGTAGGGTTTGATGTGAAGTACAAAGAGGAAAACACCATCATTTTTAAATGTCGCATTGATGGAGACTCTCTTCAAAGAATACTTCACCGCTGACATGACCCTCTGTGATTAAATTACTCGTACTGTTACCTTGAATTCTCAAAGAAAAGTTGGTTTTCTTGCTAAAAAAAACTAAAAATGTTGAAGACCTAAAGTAAATCTTGCAGTGTTTAGCAAAACTTTATCACAATTCATCAAGAATTCAATTCATCAAGAATTCAATTCATCAAGAATTCAATTCATCAAGAATTGTCTGTGTTTTATAAGCAAACGTTGTATTTTTAGTACATCTTTTAGTTACAGTTATCTGACCGTAGAATTTCCATTTAAATATTACTTAATAATAATTAAAAGCTACAGCATTTTGGAGCCAATATTGCACTCTACATGTATTTGACAAGTTTATTTGTTTTTTTGCCGAATTATATTATTAATAAAAAATTACATAAATTACAATGTTAATTTAAAGGAGAGGTGTCATGGCCATTTCCACTGATCATAATTCCATTGTTGAGGTATACTAAAATAGATTTATATTGTGCATTTTTCCAAACTCACATTGGTTTCTCATACAGCATCTCTGTAAACTACGTGTATTCACTGAATTTCACTCTCTGCCTTTAACGGCTCGTTGTAGCTCCAATAGCTCCAGCCCCCACCCTCCCTGTGAGCACAGTGTGCTCTGATTGGTCGGGACGTTGTGAATCGCGCTGAGCTCCGTGGAGGTGTTGTTTCCTTGTTTAGCGATACACAGCCAAACACAGCCAAACTCATCCTGAGCACACACAAACTCCCAGTCGAAGTAAAAACAATAAGTGTGGCTTGATATTGAGTAAGAAAAAGGTTGATAAACGCTGTGAGAATGGGTCTGCAGAGAGAATTTCGCCGCGATCCCAACTGTCTGTTATCAGCCTGCAGCCAGGGAGGAGAAATCAGCTGAGCTGCCTGCTCCCTGCACACAGATGTGTGTGTGAGGAAGTCCGTGGATTGGTCAATTTGGACCAATCAGCGGGGGCTTAACGTAACGGCTCCGCAGACGTAACGTAACGGCTCCACGGATTGGTCCATTTCGTTCCAGGTACGGGTTGACATCATGCCGTACCCGGAAGAATCAAATGGACAATGACGTATCTCCAACGAGGCGTTTTGGGGAGGTATTTTCTGTGTTAGAGTTTTACTCGCTACAGGGTGTACTTTGAGGGATTTGACTCTGCACACCGTTTACATGCATAAAAACCTTCATAACACACAAGGGGACGGGTAATAACCGGAAAAGCATGACACCTCTCCTTTAACTAATTATAAACCTGTTCATTTATTTATATTAAAGGGGCCCTATTGTAGTTTTAGGGGTTTTCCCTTCCCTGTAGTTTGTTATAGGTTTTTGAAACGCCGTTGAAACGCCGTTGAAACGTTGGGAACATATACCTTCATCAAAGAGTTTTACTTAAAATGCTTTTAATAGAAATTGGAAATACCTTTGTAAGCCAATGAGTTTCCACCTCTGCAGGTCGGTGAGGGTGAAGGCACAGGACAGCCAGGCTTGAACTCTCTCTCCACATTTCCCCGGCGCCGGCACAAAGAGAGCGAGAGCAGAAACGAGCCGGCGGACCCTCCCCTCGTCGGCCCCGAGCACCACCAGCGTGCGGCCGCTCAGCAGACACCACAGCGCCTGCATGGCAAACGGATACTGTCGCACAAACTTCAGCGCTCCTTGTCCGGCCTTCTTCCTCTGACGCAGGGTCACAACTCCCCCGTAGCCAAGAGGTGAAGCAGCCCGATCGGACCCTGTAGAAGCACTCATGGTACAGTCTGACCCTTCCTCCAATGAGGTTCGGGAAACGGCATCTCCGAGGAGCCCAACAGGCAACTCCAGTCCAGTGGCGGGGCTTTCTGAGCCCGGAGAACCCACCGTGTAGTCGTTCTGGAGGGGGAGAAGGGCCTGAGGCTCCTGGTTGACAACTGGGGATTGCGAGTTGGAGCTTTGGCCAACACAAGGAGTTCTCTCTGCTGGAGAAGCTTCGTAAAGGAAACCCTCCTGGGCCATACAGCAAGCAGAGTCCAAAGGAATCAATATATCCGAAGCCCCGTCAGTTATTACTTCACACTCGTCATCTCTGCTGGCCTCCAGCTCGGACACAACCTCCAGAAGTGACACAGGAGTCCCGTCTCCATCATCATCCCCAGCAGTTGTCTCCAAATCTTCGCTGCTGCTTTCCCTCTCCATGTCCGGTTCATTGGTCAGTTCACAATCAGGATCAGGAGCTTCTGATTTAGTCCGATTCAGTTGCTTCTCTGCGAGATCCAGTCCGCTCTTATCGCTGCTGAAGCTTCCTTTGTTCCCTTCTGAGCTCCCTTGAGTCTCCAGAGTTTGATCTGAAGGGGAGGAATCCAGATGGCTCTCCACAAGCCCAGGTTCGGTCTCTGAAGTATGGCCGGGGTTGAGAGGATCCGGAGGCTCCAGATCATCCAACACTAGAGGTTCTGTTCCAAGCACAATATGAGGTGGATTTAAAGGAGTATAGTTATCTACAGCATGGTTCACAGCACAGAATGGTCTCAGGGTCCCCCTTTCATCCTCTTCATCGTCATCCCCGAGGTCCTCCTCAAACAGGAAGTTGGTAACTCTCTGTTTCCTGCGTAGTGCCTTGTCCAGGCGTTGTGTGTGAAGGTAGCAAAGATCCCCCCGGAAACCCTTCTCCGTGTCCTTCAGGAGCGTCACGGTGGCGTCGTAGAAAGTAACGTCGCACAGCTCCTGCAGGGTCTTCAGGCGTTTGTCGAAACACTTTGCAGACTTAGCTTTGATCAGCTGTGGCGTGTAGGACGGCCTTCGCTTAACGCCTTCACCATCCCCTTCTTCTTCACCTCCAGCATCGATGGCCTGCCCCGTTTCATCTTTGTCATTGTAGCTAAAAGGCCTGGCAAGCTTTGCATATTTGTCTATCAGCTGCTCGCATTCGATCAAGCACTCGTTGATGCACCTCTGGCAGCTGACGGCTTGAGGGTCTCGGCGCGGACGTTTATTGTAGGAGCTGATCTGTCTCAGCAGGTCTCGGTGTTCGTAGATGCTTTTTTCCACGTTAGCGAGCTCGTTGGCTTTCTCCACAGCGTGAGCGGAGTACATGCGCTGAGTCCCAGCCTCTCTCTGCAGACCCTCCTCCCTCTGCAGCACCGAGTGAGTGTACCTGAGGGGAGGAACAACACAATTAGAAAGGGGAATATAGGTTGGTTTTTTCCTAAGAGGAGCCTGTGCGTTATCAGGAAACTACTGCACGAGAAATACTATAAACCGGTAACATGTGACCTCAAAAACTGTGAGATTAGGGTTAGGGTTCCTTAGCTAGTTGTGTTTTAAACCATGCAATCAACTCTAGGGAAGTAATACTCGGCTGTTGGTACATAATTTAGGTAGAGACTAAAATATCTCTAAATGTTTTGATTGATTTCCATAAAGTGTATTAAATAGTAAGATTCAGGTGAAAATGAATATGTTTAGGTATAGTTGCGTGTGAGCATACAACTTGATAAATGCATGAGTTGTTTGAGAGTTTATAAGCTTATGTTTTGATATGGTTTTGCTTTTGGTAAACCCTATTTATGTAAATTCATCAAGACTATTCCCTGTTCTTCGTCATTCCTTGTTCACTTGGAGGCATGCAATAAAAACAATGCTTTTCTTCAAGAACACAAGATAACATGGCGTGAGTAATTGATACACAAATGGATGATTTTCTGGGTGAAGTAATCCATTAAAAAGGGTGGAAACATGGTCAAAACACAATAAGGAGTAGAAATAATTCGGGGTCTAAAAGGGGCCAACAACTATTTTTTTGTACCAGGGCCCGAATATGGATTGTCCATTAATGCCTTTAACAAAATGTCAATGTTTTTTCTGTTCACTCTTTACTTAAATGATTGAAACACAGATTTGAAAAGATATCAGATAATATATTAGCAAGTACAAAGTTATATGGAAGTTCTTACTCCAGATCCCGCAGCTTCCTCTGGAGCTCCTTGGCAAACGCCCTCCTGTTCCCAGCCTTCAGACACTCGGACGCCTGAGAGAAGCGGAGGGAAAGCTCCTGAAACTGCAGCATGATTTTCCTCTCGTCAGCCGAGACGTACGCCATGCAGAACGGTCGCACGAAGCCCCTCGCTTCCAGGTCGTAAAGCGTGAGGTGATGGACGTATGCAAACGCTCCTTCCTTTGAGTCTCCCAGCACCACCCTGGAGTCCTCCACAAAGCTGAGCCTCGGGTACCCACTGCCGGGCGGATGCCCCACAAAGGAGGCCTGGTAGTCCACCGACATGATGCGCAGGGAGAAGTAGTTGAGGTCGAAGGTGCCGCAGACTTTGGGGTCTTCGGGGATGGTGAGGAGAGGCTGAGGGCCGACCTGCTCGGAGAACTCGGAGATGAGGATGAAGTCTTTGGTGAACTTGGCGTAGGAGGTTTTAGCCCAGGGGTTGGAGTCAGAGATTGGAGATAGAGGGACAGAAAACTCCTCGGGGATGGCCCAGGGGTCGGGATCTGCCTGCCCGAAATCATCCTCTTTAGTGAAAGCCACCACGTCAGGTGAGCCTATCATAGTTGTGTTGATGAGCAAGGCATGAGAAAACACAGAGCAGCACAGGAAAGAGTCATAAACCAGCTGTCAGGTGGACCATTCTGCCGGTCAGTGAGGTTCAAACAACCCAAGAGATTCCAAGAGAAAGGAAAGGACTGGAGGTGTTGTTTGAGGATATTTTGACCTATAATAATCACTCAAATATTTTAATTTGCTATTCACAAGATGGGTCTGCTGACATGACTCACTAAAAAGAGATCTCAGAAGATCAAGAAATGTTGATTTCAATAAAACTGGCGAGGGTAACAAAGTAATCTCCAAGAGTTTAGATATTCATCAGTCCATTATTAGACACAATTTCTACAATTGGAGATCATTTAGTACTGTGACTACTCTCCCTTGAAACAGGCGTCCAGCAAAGATGACTACAAAGGCACAACGCAAATTAGTAAACGAGGTAAAAAAAATAAAAGTCCCTTAGAGTAACAGCTGAAGGCTTGAATGTATCATTGAAACCAGTCAGAAGCACAACACACAGCACAGTTAAAAAGTCATAAACCAGCTGTCAGGTGGACCATTCTGGCTGTCAGTGAGGTTAAAAAACCTGGAGATTCCCAGACTAAGAAAAGGAAAAAGCAAGTGGATTATACCATTTAAAAAAAGGGGGTCCCACAGCATAGTGGGCCCAACAAATCCAACTGCGCCCCTGCTAAAGAGAGTCCAAGATCCTTGATATGTCTCAAATCAATTAAACGTAGCCTCCTCCACATTAAATACTAATATATGTTAACAAAAGCAATTATCCTGCGCCAATCAGAGGCTCCGTGCTGGCGTCAGACCATTCATGATGATCAGAGAGAATTTTTCTTCACAGCAGCATCATTGAAGCACCTCTCTTCTTTCAGCTTAATTTCTTCATGCGTAGTCTCCAGCACGTTTCTGTGTTTTGGGCTAAAAAGCGAGACGTCTGAGCGACACACACACACCGCTAACAGCCTGTAGCGCTACATGTAATTTTCACATCCAGAGACAGACGCCATGTTTACCCAGCTGGTTGTAGTCTTGTCAGGTGATCAAATCCAACTCCCCATCTGGAGGAATTCCACCCTAAAACTGGAATTTCATATATTTTGCATATCATGATTACATGGTATTAGTATGAAAACTAGATCAATATAATTTAATCTCAACATTTTTTATATTGGGATTTTTCACATATTGTTTATTTGGCTGGGTTGGCTGTGCAGTTGTATTTTCTACACTTTGTACTTGAATTAAGAACCTGCATTGCTTTGGAAATTAAACAAATAATCAAAATTGGTGTCACAACAGTGTCTCTATTATATCTACTAAGTACTAGATAACTTATAACGAAGATACAAGTAGTATGTAGCTGCAATGAAACGTGTGTATATCTTAAACTGATGGCCTTTTTCATAACACTCTCTATGCTGCAAATAACATTGTTTTGGTGGAGTAATTCCAGAAATTATTCACATTTCAGAAAAACGACGTCTAAAATTAAAAACAGCCTGTTAAAAATGTAGGAAAAATACAGACGAAATTATTTTAAATACCTTTTTTTGTTAGTTACTGTCTTGGTTCGTACATGTGACAATTTTGAATTTAGGGTGGATTTTCTGTTTGAGAAATACATTAGTGAAACATTAATATTTACACTATAATAGTTATTATGAAAAACGTATTATTAATATAAAAAAACGTCAACCATGTATGCATCAATCACTCAGTTCAAATAATTAAATGACTGTACATTCATTTATAGATATTCAGTTTTATTTAGACGTTTGGTCGTTACGACAGTTTTACGACAGTTTTACGGCACTATTTAAAAGTCAAGCGCGGAATTTGTAAACAGAGCTAACAGTCAGTCCATCAGGTCGATGCTCGAGGCTGCTTCTCTTAAACTTTTTAATTAAACACTTTTGATAGACCGGAATTCATTTTCTAACTTTATAATTCGTTGTGAGTTAAGTTTGTCAACAGCTGTCACAACTTTACAACTGTGTGGTAGGTTTAGTGAGTGGATGAAATGTCTTTAGCCGGTGAGCTAACATGCTAAAAGAGTGGATCCAGCTCAGTCGGAGGTCAGCGTGCAGGTAGCCGGCGCAGCTGCACCTCAGAGCGGGGAGGGATGCTAGCACTGCTCGGTAGATCTCTGCTTAGACCCGGATTACAGCAGCGGCTCGGGGTCATTCGGAGGTGTTTCTGTGCGGCGCAGAGTGACCAGTGTCTGGCTGACATTCCTCCTCCTCCACCGCAGCAGGCAGACATGAACCGGGGGCAGGTCCGGGGTCAGATCCGGAGGGTCCTCTGCGTGGCCGAGAAGAACGATGCGGCTAAAAGCATCGCAGCCATCATGTCTGATGGCAATGCGAGGAGGGTGAGTCCTGTCTTCTCTCACATTGTGGAAAATACACTAACAGATAGTGCTATAAGTCAGTGCTTTACGGTATTTAAAGAAGGAATCTGCAACACTGATTCAAGGCTTGTATTGCCATGTGTACACAGTGTAGTTATGACAATGACATTCTTAAGTCACAGGCTCCTCCAACAGTGCAACACAATTAAACAGATAATAGTGTAAGTAAATAAAATAGAATAGAATAGAAATAGTACAGAATAGTCTATATACAAGTAATTGGAATATTCAAATCAAATCAAATCAAATCAAAGTTTATTTATAAAGCACATTTAAAAGCAATTTTTTGGTCGGGCCAAAGTGCTGTACATGTAATAAATACTGCAATCACATAAAAACACATTACTACAATCACAATAAAAGACAATAAATTACAACAGATATATAAAAAAACACAGGGAAAAGTCAGGAGTCGTGCTCCGCTCTGACTAAAAGGCCAGGGAGAAGAAGTGTGTTTTAAGAGTAGATTTAAAAACCCCTAGGGTCTGGGCCGACCTCACATGGAGGGGCAGAGTGTTCCAGAGCCTGGGGCCAGCTGCTGCGAAGGCTCGGTGCCCTCGGGTTTTGAGACTGGTCTTGGGCACTACCAGCAGCAGCTGGTCAGCAGACCTTAAAGCTCTGGCTGGGGTGTAGCGCTGGAGGAGTTCAGCTATATAGCCCATTTAGTGCTTTAAAAACAAATAAAAGGAGTTTAAAATCAATTCGGAACCGAATTGGAAGCCAGTGCAGTGAGGCCAGAATTGGGGTGATGTGGTCACGCTTTTTGTGGCCAGTGAGTAGACGTGCAGCTGCGTTCTGCACTAGCTGCAGGCGTTTAATTGACGCCTGGTCCATACCCACGTACAGAGCGTTGCAGTAGTCCAACCTCGAGGTAACAAAGGCGTTAATAACCCTTTCCAGGTCTTTAAAAGATAAAAACGACTTGGTCTTGGCCAATAGTCGTATTTAAAAAAAGCAGGTCTTGACTACGCTGCTGACCTGCTTATCGAATTTAAAAGCGCTATTGAAGGTCACTCCAAGGTTCGTGACAGAGGGGAGGATATTATTTTTGAGGGAGCCCAGAATATCAACCTGGGAGGCTGGAGGTTGGGGTCCAAAAAAGATAACCTCAGTCTTGCTCTCATTGAGGTTGAGGAAATGTTTGCTCAGCCAGGATTTGATCTCTGCTAAGCAGTCCATCAATAGCTGTAATGAGTTTACATTTGAATTGAGTGGCAGATAGATCTGTACATCGTCGGCGTAGCAGTGGAAGGGGATGTTGTGTTTTGTGAGAATTGAACCTAGGGGCAGTATGTACAGTTGAAAAAGGATGGGGCCCAAAATCGAGCCTTGGGGAACCCCACAGGTAAGAGGGGCTTTGGCAGAGGAGAAGGCACCTAGCTGCACTGAGAAGCTACGGTCTGTCAGGTAGGACCTGAACCATGCAAGGGCAGAGCCTGTGATGCCAGCGGACTGTTCGAGCCGTGACAACAGGATGCTATGGTCCACAGTGTCAAAGGCAGCTGTCAGGTCTAACAGCACCAGGACAGCTGGGCTACCTGAGTCGGCGGCTAGGAGCAGATCATTAAAAACTCTTAAAAGGGCTGTTTCAGTGCTGTGCATGGGTTTGAAGCCAGACTGAAACTTTTCATGGATGCCATGCATGGTTAAAAAAGACTGCAGCTGGGCGTAGACTACTCGCTCCAGGGCTTTAGATAAAAAAGGTAGCTGGGAGATGGGCCTAAAATTTGCGAGAATGGAGGGGTCGAGATTTTTCTTTTTAAGTAGTGGCTTAACCACGGCATGTTTGAAGGCAGCTGGGACACATCCTGAGCTAAGAGAGGTATTTATAAGTAATAAAATACTTGCTCCAACTGATTCGAAAACATCTCTGAGAAGGCGAGAGGGAATGCTGTCTGAGGTGCAGTTTGTCGGCCGCAGGTGCTTGACTACATCCGAGAGAGAAGAGAGGGATACAGGCTCAAAGTGGTCGAGGACAGCAGGGCACAGAAAAGGAGCAGGATCTGGGGTAGCACTAGTGTGGGCTAGCCTAAGAGCAGATACCTTTTCAATAAAAAATTTAAGAAACTTATCACAGAGAGTAGTCGATGGGACAATAGAAGAAACATCACAGGGATTAATGATCGAGTTGAGGACATTAAAAAGAACCTGAGGTTTATGGCTGTTTTTGGAGATTAACAGAGAAATGTGCTCTGTTTTGGCTGCTTTGACTGCCGTCTGGTAGTCAGAAAGGCAAGCACGAAGGATTTCTAAGGAGACATGGAGTTTATCCTTTTTCCATTTTCTCTCTGCACGCCTGCAAGCGCGTCTGAGAGCACGAGTACAGTCATTGAGCCACGGCTCTGAGAGAACTTTGGTGCGTCTAAGCGTAAAAGGAGCAACAGAATCCAGTATTAGGGTACATGTCGAGTCAAACATGGAGATAAGCTCATCAGCACTAAAAACACAGTTCACCTCTAATTTACAGATCGGAGAAGCATTAAAAACATCAGAGAACTATATTGATATATATAAGTTGCAAACAGGTGAATGTTATGGATGTTCTTTCAAAAGTGCAGGTGCAGTTTTATGGCCTGTGGGATGAAACTGTCCCTTTAAGCATGTTTCTTGGTTTTGTATCTATCAAAACAAACTGTGAATACATAAACCTGTATGAAGATAATATACAGAATATATTTACAAAGCAGTGGTGTAAGAAGCACTCTTTTGAGAAGAAAAAGAAGATGAACCTGTATTTATCCTCCTAGGGGGGAATTCAGTTTTCACTCTGGTTTTTATATTTTTTAATACACACACAATGCCGGTAGAATACACATGTATGCATCTGGAGAGGCGCCAGAGCGAAGAGGCTGCCAGTCCTCACTTTATAGTACAAATACTATGGCCTTTGAGTACTCCATTACAAGTTAAAGTCCTGTTATTCAAAGGTGGGGTAGGTAATTTTGGAGAAACCAGCTCGAGTGCGCTAGAATTTGAAAATACACAACCGAAAAAAATCTGCCTCTTCCTTCAGACTTCCTTACAGAGCCCCTCCTCCAACACACACGAACGCGCACATGACCAATGAGGGCACGAGATAAGTTTGTGCACAGATGGAAGGCTGACAGGCAGGTAGGCCATCCAGTTATTTTAGCCGGGCTGGCTAAAATGATTGGTCGTACTTTTTACAGTACTACGGCTTCCACAGATGACATTTTTTTATGGATTTTTTGTCAAAGCACTTAAGATATTCATTGCTATTGGGATGTTAAGAGCATTCCATGGAATATAACAAAAAGTGTATCTCGAGCCGGTTTCTCAAACTTACCTACACAAGTACATCCCGATAGCAATGAATATATTAAATGCTTTGACAATAAATACATAAAAAAATGTCATCTGTGGAAGCCGTGGCGCTGTAAAAAGCACGACCAATCATCTGATTTTTTCCAGTTGTGTACTTTCAAATTCTAGCGCACTCGAGCTGGTTTCTCCATTCTTACCTACCCTACCTTTAAGGTATGAAATTACTCACTTGAATTATGATGGAAATATCCTTCTAGTGGCAATCTCTGCAGAAACATCTTTCTGTAAAGTGAAGCACAAGCATTGAAATATAGGAACAAAATATTTTATTGATTTAAGATATTCATTGCTATCGGGATGTTAAGAGCATTCCATGGAATATAACAAAAAGTGTATCTCGAGCCGGTTTCTCAAACTTACCTACCCCACCTTTAAGTAAAAGTACTTAAAGTACAAATAGTAGGGCCCATTTCAGAATAATATAAGGTAAAGAAGTATTATCCAGTAAATGTACTTCAAGTATCAAAAGTACTTTTTAAACATGTAAGAGCATGTTAGTGTTGTATTTGGACCAAATTAAGATACTGGAAATACGATGTAGATTAGTAGTACTGCATTATACCATATCAGCTTATACTGTATGTGGTATTAATATGTAGAAAAGTAACTAGTAACTGCCTAGCCTCAACATACAGAGGAAGGGTTGCCACGTCTCGTGAAAATGTTCGGACTTAGTAAATTAACTGTGTATAGAAATATTGGCACTCATTTCTTTGGCTAATCCAGTGAATAATAAACCTGATCATAACATTGAAATATAAATCTTATGTGTTATAATCCATATGGAGTAACGTCTTGTATACCCTGACTGTGTATCCTTACTGTATATCTCCTGAAATCAGAGCATAGTAATATAAATGATAAAAGTGAATCTGTTTCTAAGATTTCTATATTTGTATGTGCTTCTGCTTCAGTACTGATTGTCTTCTTTTCCATTTTAGAGAGAAGGGATGTCAAAGTTCAATAAAATCTACGAGTATGAATATAATCTCTTTGGCCAGGTAAGTGTTATAAGAAAAGTATAAGACCTTTACACACAAGCACCTATAAGTCTGTTCTTTTGTGCTTTAAATATCTCTTTATATCTCCATCCATCTCCAGGATGTGACGGTAACAATGACCTCGGTATCTGGCCATTTACTGGGTCTGGAGTTTAAAGCACAGTATCAGAAGTGGTGAGTAAAACTGGATTTCTTATTTGATTTTCTTGGTATTTCCTGCATCACACTGTATCATAACTAGGGATGGGTATCGTTAAGGTTTTAACGGTACTACTACTTTTATCGATACCGCTTATCGACCCGGTCTTTTAACGGTACTCTTATCGGTTCTTTTGGAGAAAAAAAGAAGGTAAACTAACTAAACAAATTGTGAACAAAACTAACATTGCTTTTTATTTAAATTAAATACATAATATTTCACATCAAAAGAAACAACAATGTTTTAACAAATCGTATTAAATAATGTGATGAGAACTGTAAACAGAATAGCTGAAACTTTAACAAAATAAATAACTCAGTTACCTCTAATCATTAACCCATGTTTGTATAATTGAGTTAACTCCGTGTGTTGCTGCTAGCATACATAACACCTGACGTGGAAACGTTACTCGTGGATGGGGCTACAGAGCGTCTAGAAAGACAGTCGAACCCGGTGCATTTCTCCGTCTGGATGTGGTGCACGCTAGATGTTTAGACAAATTGCTCGTGTTACCGCCCTTACATGCTAAACTCTTATTGCACTTTTGGTAACGAGCATCGAGACGGGTAAACGTTTAACCACACCTCGGAGCACTCTCCGCCATCTCCGCCGTGTGTGTGTGTGTGTGTTGCTGCATGTAGCAGCTGCGTGTGTGTAAACTGCCCCGCCCCCTCGCACACAGACGAGAGAGATCTCTAAAAATAATCATAGACGCATTTTGTAGTCTTTTTGCGTATTAGAAACGGAGTTGGCGACACTAAAACTGCAATATAATGTTTATGTAGCAATAATACATATGACATATATTTTTTACATGTCTCCAGTACCGATAAAAAGACCGATAACGTCGGAGCTTAACGGTACCACGGTCTTTAATAATTCAGCCCCGGGGCCCCTTTAATACCGGGGCTCGGTACCCACCCCTAATCATAACAACTGATGGTATTTGTTCCTTTCCTCATAATAGGTACAGTTGCAGTCCTGTGCTGTTATATGATGCTGAGGTAGAGAAGTACTGTCCAGATAACATGAAACAAATCAAGGTATGCTAATATATTGCCCTCCCATTAGTCATATACAAAAATTAATCCTTACATTGTATTTAAAGAAATCTGTCCCTCTTTCTGTTCCTTTAAATAATTGTAACTGTGATAGTTTGTTTTAACTATGTATTAATAAAAAACAGGATGAGCTGCTGTACCATTTTATTATGTGGAGTCAGAGACAATAATAATGATTATGGATAATAGAAATACACCTGAATCATTCCCTCTAAATCTTTACTTTCTCCTTCTCCCCCCCGCTCCTCTCTGTCTCTAGCGGACACTAGAGAAAGAGGCGAGGCAGTGCCAGGCTTTAATCATCTGGACCGATTGTGACCGAGAGGGAGAAAACATTGGCTTTGAAATCATAGATGTCTGCAAAGCAGGTAGGATAGTGATGTGTGAGTTGTTATTGTGTGGATTTGATCACCTCTTAGAGAATGATTCAACAGTTTGGTAAATATGTTTATTGCTGAGAGTTAAATGAAAACATTGATACTACTGTCAATATAAAGCTGGATCTAGAATATGGTTAGCTTAGCTTAGCCTGAAATAAAATCCAGTGGCTCTGATCACCAAAATATCGTATTTATTCCGTTTAAAATATAGCAGAGTTACATTTCTTTCCCCACAAATCGCTCCTAATAATAGTGTGTGTGTGCTTTTTCAGTGAAGCCAAATATGCAAGTGTTACGGGCAAAGTTTTCTGAGATCACCCCCAACTCCATCCGGAGAGCTTGTGAGACGCTAATCGAGCCGGATGCTAACGTTAGCGATGCTGTCGATGTGCGTCAGGAGCTGGACCTGCGAATAGGTAAGACTGCACCCTTAAACTACTTAACTACTAAGAAACACATAGTAACAACAAAGTCAAAACGATTCTGTCATTATGGGGTGCCCGGCTCAACAGGTGATTGTTCATACAGCATTATCATACTTTGGCAGCCTTGGTTAAATGTCACTTCAGCCCTGATTTAACATGAGGGGTTATCAAAAAAAGTACAACATATTAATATGATCCCATCCTCTCCGCAGGTGCGTCCTTCACTCGCTTCCAGACCATGCGCCTGCAGAAGACCTTCCCTCAGTCTCTGGCCAATCAGCTGATCTCGTACGGCAGCTGTCAGTTTCCCACTCTGGGCTTCGTGGTGGAGCGCTTCAAAGCCATCCAGGCGTTCATACCGGAGACTTTCTACAAGATCAAAGGTACAAACTCCTGCCTGCTCACACACACACACACACACACACACACACACACACACACACACACACACACACACACACACACACACACACACACACACACACACACACACACACACACACACACACACACACACACACACACACACACACACACACACACACACACACACACACACACTTCATGTTTTAAACTAAATCGTTCTGTCTCAGTGCTGCACGACGTGGAGGAGGAGTCTGTGGAGTTCAGTTGGAAAAGAAACCGTCTCTTCCACCACACAGCCTGCCTGGTGCTCTACCAGATCTGCATGGAGGTATGTGCCCGTTTTTAAGTATATTTTATGTTATTGATGTTTGATATGTTAAATACTTTGTTAATAGTTTATGTTTGTGAATTTGACGTTGAAAATCGAAAGGATATTTTTCTCTTTGGATTGGTCATATTTGCCTCTTTATCCTAAATTCCTTTATAGGACTTTTATGTGTTATGTAGTTATTCTCGTAACTAATTAATATGCTTACTTGAATTGCTTTGTAGCCTAAACTTCTTCAACACTGGCATTTAAGTCCCTTAAACAGTAAAGCAGCGTTTAGTTATTATGCTCCAGATATCTGGAACAAACTCCCAGAAACCTGCAGGTCCGCTGCAACTCTTACTACTTTTAAATCCAGGCTGAAGACTTTTCTTTTTGTCGCTGCTTTTAATTAAACTATTCACATCTTAAACTGCACTGTCACTTTTATCCATGTATTTTTTCTTTTAATGTTTATTTTATTATCTTTGCTTTTTAATGACTGTTTTTAAATGCCATTTTCTTAATGTCTTTAATTTTTTGTAAAGCACTTTGAATTGCCTTGTGTTGAAAGGTGCTATATAAACTTGCCTTGCCTTAAACACCAAGCCGATTTCGGCCGTCGATAGATGTCGGGCCGTCGATGAGCGTCGTGTCGCCCTACTCAGTGTCTTGGTGTGTACTGCACCGTTGTGTCTTTTCGGCCGACACCTTCCGCCGCCGATTCGACATGTTGAATCAAGAGGCTGTCGGCTAAAGAAATCACTCTGATTGGCTGTTCAGCTAGCGAATCAGTGCATGAGAAGCGAAACGGAAGTGAGGGACCCAAACAAACGACTAAGAAGGCAAATCTGAGATTTCATTTAACTCCAGCTCTCGACACAGGTTCGGGAAAGCCCCATGAGTTTCTCGCTTATCACGCAGTCTGTCTTCCGGTTGCCTCTTTTGAATGACGAATACACACTACCGCCGCCTGCTGGTAAGGAGAGTTATTGCCACTCACGCATGCGCAGTTCGTACGTGCTTCTTGGCCGTCGGCTGAAGTCTTTGCGGTGTGTTCCAGTGCGACACATGGCCAAGACGCAGGAGACGTGAGGCGTGTTCTTTGGTGTCAGTTTGGTGTGTAAGGAGCTTTACTTGTTGCCATTTTTGTAAGCTTTTTTGCTAGTTTACCACAACATCTTTGCCTATGCAAAGCAAATGGAAATCCAAGAAGAGAAGAATATACAAAAGTAAAGAGCTGGTACCTTTTTTAATTTTACTACAAAACTGTCTATCTCTAAGCGGTTGACCAATCAAAACAGAGCCGAACAGCTAACCAATCAGAGCAGACTGGGCTCTGGTTTCAGACAGAGGGTGAAAAGAGGTGCTGCAGCACAGGCAGTATGAGAAAAATAAAGATCTCTTTGAACATTAAAGCAGTGCCTGCGTGCGTGCCTGCCTGCGTGCGTCCGTGCGTGCGTGCGTGCGTGCGTGTGTGCCTGCCTGCCTGCCTGCCTGCGTGCGTCCGTGCGTGCGTGTGTGCGTGCCTGCCTGCCTGCCTGCGTGCGTGCGTGCGTGCGTGCGTGCAGCCCCTTGTCCACCTGAGCTGGAGGACACAGCATAAATGAATTTTAATGTGTTGTCAATCTGCCTGAATAAAAATGGGCTAAATGCCACGTTTTGAAAGGTACACATCAGAATATCTCTACTCATTTTCAGGATCCCATAGCAACGGTCTCCTCAGTAACCAGCAAACCCAAGAGCAAGTGGAGACCGCTGCCTCTGGACACTGTGGTGAGAACACAAGTCAAATAAACAACACACAAATATAATCTGCATTTAAAAACACACATCTGTCTGTGGTATAAAGTATCAGCTTCTGTGTTCATGTAAACAACAATCCTCTCCTTTCATCTGACCAACAGGAAATGGAGAAACTTGCATCTCGAAAGCTAAAAATAAGCGCCAAAGAGACGATGACAATTGCAGAAAAGCTCTATACCCAGGGGTGAGTGCATGCTGGGTAATCTACATTCATACTGCAATCTTTTGGTTTTGTCCGACCATGCTTACTGTCCTTATCAGTTTCACTGTAGTTTGTTTTTGTTTCATCGTGAAGCCACCGTTTCAGAGGCTCTCTGTCAGTGGGCATGTATTTTTTGTTTTCCAGATTGTAAACGTCCTCAAAGTCGTGGCTATCTTTGTTCTCGCCATCTGGCAGGGTCGTGTCTTTCAGGGAATTAAAGGGACAGTGCCTGTTTCATTTTTTCATTGTATTGCCTAGGGGCTGCCTCATTAACTGAATATTTATTAAAATCCTAATTTTGTCCTTTCCAAATCGCAATGATTGGTAAAGGCCAACAAATTAATATATATATATATTAATATGAACATAAGAAGGTAAAGTAAAAATGTGCAATATAAAGTATACTGAAATTAAGATATTCATATCAACATAAGAACTTGGAAAAAAATCAAATACATACTACTGCTGCCCCTGTCCACAGTAGTATGTATTTGCCATCTACTGTAGGTAATAAACACTGTATGAGTAGCTGAATCAAGCCCATTAACAATTGAGTATGTAAGTCGCTTTGGATAAAAGCGTCTAACAAGTGACATGTAATGTAATGTTAGAAACACAGACTGATACGCAGTGTTTCCGCCAGACCAGGGCTGAGAGGGCGTCCACCCCGAGAGCGAGGGGGGGGGGGGTGTGTGTGTGACGTCACGTGACTTGAATTTTGAATTGAGCCGTCCCTTATAGATACTATCTCTTTACGTATTAGTGATGGGGATTCCGGCTCTTTCAGCTCCTAAACGGCTCTTCATTTTACCACGGAGCCTCAGTTTCGAGGCTTCGGTGCTCGCAGTTCACTAACACCCCCCGCCAAGGCTCGCCGGCAGTACACTTTCCGTCACAGGAACACACTTTGCTGGCAGCGAAAAGAATCCCGCCAGACTCCTTTGCCCCTCCAACAGGGATGTCCTTGTCCTTTTTCCTTTTCGTTATTTCAAGCGATAAAAACTCTCGATCTTCTCTCGAATTATTATTATCTTTGGACGCCCTCGGCTCGAGTTCAGGGCGTTCCAAGCTGAATAAGGGCATCTAATGACGGCAAGAAGCCCCCCTGGCGGAAACACTGCTGATACGTCTGAGAGTTTACCAGCAGGGTCTTTTTGCTCTCAGATTGTCTGCGTGAAGATGACTGTGTGTTTGTTTCTCTTCAGGTACATCAGCTACCCTCGAACAGAGACCAACATCTTCCCAGAGAACCTGGCTCTCGGCCCCCTGGTGGAGCAGCAGACTCACAGCCAGGCCTGGGGGGGGTTCGCTCAGCGGGTGATGGAGCAGCCCGGGGGTCCCAACCCTCGACAGGGAAAGAAATCTGATCAAGCCCATCCCCCCATCCACCCCACCAAGTTCGCCAACTCTCTGCAGGTAGGTCTGCTGAAACTAGACCTTCAAATCTTCCCTCTGCCCAGTCATGAGCAACACACACCAGAACCGACCGTGAAACTCAGTATGAGACTGTTGATGTTTGTTATTTACCTCGTTTATTTCACTCGGTGCAAGAAGACCTTGATAAGACCTCGCACCGAGTGAAATAACAAACATCAACAGTGTGTGTGTGTGTGTGTGTGTGTGTGTGTGTGTGTGTGTGTGTGTGTGTGTGTGTGTGTGTGTGTGTGTGTGTGTGTGTGTGTGTGTGTGTGTGTGTGTGTGTGTGTGTGTGTGTGTGTGTGTGTGTGTGTGTGTGTGTGTGTGTGTGTGTGTGTGTGTGTGTGTGTGTGTGTGTGTGTGTGTGTGTGTGTGTGTGTGTGTGGTGTGTGTGTGTGTGTGTGTGTGTGTGTGTGTGTGTGTGTGTGTGTGTGTGTGTGTGTGTGTGTGTGTGTGTGTGTGTGTGTGTGTGTGTGTGTGTGTGTGTGTGTGTGTGTGTGTGTGTGTGTGTGTGTGTGTGTGTGTGTGTGTGTGTGTGTGGAAAATAAACATTCAACGTGATACAGTTAATTCAGAAAATTCAGGCAAACACGGGAAGGTCTTTTTAAAAGAGAAATTGCAAGGGAGTACAAAGAGAGTTTCTTATTTGTAGAAAAACAAACAAAAAAGGACGTTAAAGGTAGGGTAGGTAAGTTTGAGAAACCGGCTCGAGATCGCTAGAATTTGAAAATACACAACCGGAGAAAATCTGCCACTTCCTTACAGAGCCCCTCCTCCAACACACACGAACGCGCACATGACCAATGAGGGCACGAGATAAGTTTGTGCCCAGATGGAAGGCTGACAGGCAGGTAGGCCATCCAGTTATTTTAGCCGGGCCGGCTCAGATGATTGGTCGTGCTTTTTACAGCGCTACTGCTTCCACAGATGACATTTTTTAATGGATCTTTTGTCAAAGCACTTAAGATATTCATTGCTATCGGGATGTTAAGAGCATTCCATGGAATATAACAAAAAGTGTATCTCGAGCCGGTTTCTCAAACTTACCTACCCCACCTTTAAGGAACCACTTAGACGCTTGAAATAAATTTCTCCATGCAAGTTAGAGATATGCAATTGTGAAGAATGTACCCTTGAGTGAGTGAACTTGAATGCTTGACTGTATGCTTTTTTAATACTTGAAGTTTGCACTGTGCAACTGTATTACCAAGGAAACCTGAAATGAATAACACCGCTCGGGACATGCCTAGCAAATGTTCCTTTTTTCCCCTTTGTAATTAGATGTGCTCTTAGGAGTTGTTTTTAAATATAGGCATGTTGACGTCATTATAATTCCGCTACGAAAATGTTTCTGATAACAAGAATTATTGGTAAAACACACCCACCCTTCCCACCCAGTCATCCAGTCATACACCCTATCTGTTTAATTTAAATATTATGAAATACATTTTGCTTCTGTTCCTTCTGTGTCCAGGGCAATGAAGGACGTGTTTATGAGTTCATCGTCCGGCACTTCCTGGCTTGTGTATCCCAGGATGCTTTGGGGCACGAGACCGTGGTGGACATCACCATCGCTCAGGAGAACTTCTCCGCCTCGGGACTCATGATCATCGCCAGGAACTACCTGGACGTTTACCCCTATGACAGGTGGAGTGCCAAGGTATATTTTAGTTAATTAAACTAACTAAGCTCAGAGAAAATGCAATCAGATGTACATGATTAGCTTTGATTCAATGATGATGAGACTTTGCTATAATTTGCCTGTGTGTGATTGTATATCCTTTATATCCTGTTAACCTATTTTATTCATGCCAGGTGATTCCAGTGTATGAGCAGGGCTCTCAGTTCCAGCCCTCTGCGATCGAGATGGCGGACGGACAGACGAGTCCTCCTCAGCTGCTCACTGAGGCCGACCTCATATCCCTGATGGAGAAACACGGCATCGGTACAGTACACACACACACACACACACACACACACACACACACACACAGACACTCACTAAATATGAATTTGTCCAGCAAAAAGTGATTATTTGTGCACACAACATACTGTAAACCCTGCACATGTCTCAGTTTATTTTTGCACAGTCCTGTTCTATGTAACTGTAACTGTGTCTACTTATGTATTTTCAGGCACTGATGCAACTCATGCAGATCACATCGAGACGATAAAGAGTCGCATGTATGTCGGTCTGACAGCTGACCTGAGGTTTCTGCCTGGAGAGCTCGGCATGGGACTGGTGGAGGGTAAACACACACACACACACACACACACACAGACACACACAGACACAGAGAGACACACACACACACACACACACACACGCATATATGGATGTCGTTGATATTTTGTGACGTCATTCCCACCTAAAAAAGAAATAAAATCCTCCTATGAAATTCTCAATTGAGTTGATTTATGAGATAAAAGAGTTCAGATTTGTGTAGAATTAACTTTTTGTAGTGAGTTTATCTCTTTAATGCGAGGCCAGCGAACTTGACGGCAGTGAAGAAGTTATTTTTGAAACAAATATGGATTGAAGCTTTTTGACTTTTTAACGTTTAATTTGTGTGTGTTAAGGTTACAACTCCATGGGCTATGATATGTCCAAACCTAACCTGCGTGCTGAGCTGGAGGCCGACCTGAAGCTGGTGTCAGAGGGACGGAAAGACAAACGCAGCGTCCTGCAGAACCACATCCAGAAATACAAAACCGTCTTCATCGAGTCCTTCAGGAAGGCCAAGAAGTCAGTGACGATTTACTTTGGATTAGATCTGTGTCTTTCTGACGAGCAAAATCCTGTCATATTTTATAATATTTGGTTAGTTACACCTATGCTTTTACCTCAGGTTAGATGAAGCCCTGGCGCCATATCTGGGTGCCGCTCAGGTGATCCCTGAAGAAGAGCAGCAGGACATGGAGATCCCGCTGACCGTCAGGAAGTGTCCTCAGTGCAGTCGGGACATGGTGCTGAAGAGGAAGAGGGAGGGGAACAGGTGAAGACAGACAAAACATGAACATCTCTTCAGCTTGTGTTAACTGTGGTGGAAACTTCTGAAGCAATGGAGACTCAGAGAGACACGGGGAGAGCGGGAACTTTGATGGCAAACACTGATGGTTTATTTGGAGCTTCGGCCGTAGAATTCACAAGACATGTGCTGTGCCACGAGGTGACACAGTAGATGCCAAACCAATTCTGAAGATCTCTACCCCAGACCCGTGTATTTAGCTAGTTCTAAGAGAATAATCAACATTGTGCATAACAAGATAAAACCATAACACCTCTATCAGCTGACGCCAACAGGCAGGAACAGGGAGACAAAGCACTGAGAGCACAGCAGCCCAAAGTTACAGGCCTGTGCTCAGTGAGGGCAGTACACACTGATAAACTGGGTCAGAGTTATGGGCCTAGGAAAATATTGCCCCAACATTAACAAAACACACAACTCATTTCACACATCTAACGAGATGAGAAAGAAACCTAAAGCTAAAACGCTGACTCATTTCCAGGTTTAGGACTCATTCCTGCACCACTGGCTAGAATCAGAATACCTTTATTAGTCCCACAGAGTGGACATTTACATTGTTACAGCAAAAAAGAGACAAAGACAGCTTAATGTTACCTAAGAAGCATGCATAAAAAAGTTACAAAAAACACATCCTGTAACAGTTCTGAGGATTTAGCAGCCGGGTATATATTGCACAGTTATTAACGGCATATATATATTGCACATAGATTACATTAGGTAATAATGCTCTTAATTCCCGCTCCCTACCTCGTTCTGCCCCCTGCAGTAAGTACCTGTCCTGCACGGGGTTCCCGGACTGTAAGACGGCGGTCTGGTTCCCCGACTCGGTGCTGGAGCTCAGCAGAGACGACAGCGTCTGTCCCACCTGTCGACCGCACCCTGTTCACATGTAAATATATAATTTATTATACACACATACATATTTTCTGCACTTTATTTTGTTATTTCATGTATGTATGAATGCTTCGTGTCTTTGTCTTTGTATGTTGTCGATTCTGAATGTTTTGATGACACCTTAAAAGGAGTAGCTTTACTCTTCTTGTTCTAATTGTAAAATGACAATAGATGCTTCTAATCTAATCTAAGTTCTCTAGTAGCCTGTTTTTAAAAATCAGTTTTCCAGAGTTCATTCTGGAGATCCATTTTCTTAGGATTATCGAAATCTGGGTGTGGGAGAGAAACTCCCTCTGGAGGAAACTTACTGTAGCACAAAATCCTATACAACACACTGCAGGGAAGGCCTATGACAGGGCCTCTTTAAATAATGTATAGGAGGAATTTAAATCTGCATTTAAAACCAGTGCATCTAAGGCCCCATTTACACGGAGACGAAAACGAACCGAAGTCGATATCAAAAAAGTCTTCCGTCCACACGGAATTGGTACAAGAAACGTGTCCGTCCACACGAAACCGCTCGACCCGCTGGAGACGCTGTAGTACATATGCCTGTAAGTGGCGATGTACTTCCGCCACAAAATACACCAAAAGCAGCGAAGAAGACCCCCCGAGCATGGTTGCCTGGTTGCCCTTCTGGTTATTCTCCGCGGTGGATTTAGCAACATGTAGTTCATGTAGTTCTCCATGTCCACTTGTTGCTGATGGTTGTGGTAGAGGAGCTGTAGATTTTGCACTAACATCTGTATCATGGTCAGTAGCGTCTGGAGCACGAATGCAACCCTGTGATCCCCCATTGTTGTTGTTGTTGGCGAAACACATCAGCAATGACGCGGGGGGTCAGCAGGAGAGGTGGGGAGAGGCGTGGCTATGATCGTTTAGGGCGTACACACGGTGCTGCAAGCGTTACGTTACCAGACCTTCCCACTTTGGGATGCGTTATCGTTTTGAGAGCTCCGTTTCTGCGGTTCCGTTACGGCCTCGTGTGGACGAACCGTCCATACGATAAAGAACTATAGCGGATAACACCCGTTTCGTCTCCGTGTGGACGGGGCCTAAATGTCTTAGTCCTAAGTAGTTGACCCTGACTGATTTGCACAACAATGCTTGTAATGGCAATTTTGATATTTCAATGTCCTATATTCCGGTTGCCATTATTTCACAGGTGATGTTTAGAGTGATCTTACGCAGACACATGACAGATACATTTTCCAGTTGTTGGATGCAGTTTAGTTTGTGGTTTATTGAAGATCTGTACAATACCAATGTTGTGGTGAGTTGATGAATGAGTGCTGCTCTTCCTCTCCCTGTGTCCTCCCTGTTTCCCTTTGACCCATTTTTAAACCCTGTGCAGCTAACCCCCGCCACCAAGTGTTCAAAATAATATGGCAAGATAAATATAAACAAAATAAACTGACATGCCAACAATACACATAAATGGCTCCTTCAAAGCACATTTGTCTTCTCCTAGTTGTCATAATAACCTGATGCAGGCATAATTCAGTTATACATACTTAGTTTAACTTCCTCTCAACACCTCACACACCCACAGTAACATCATATTCAACATTAAAACATATGCACATATTCTTTTTAGTTCCTTATTTTGCCTCGAACACACAGCTTCTTGTGTGTGTGTGTGTGTGTGTGTGTGTGTGTGTGTGTGTGTGTGTGTGTGTGTGTGTGTGTGTGTGTGTGTGTGTGTGTGTGTGTGTGTGTGTGTGTGTGTGTGTGTGTGTGTGTGTGTGTGTGTGTGTGTGTGTGTGTGTGTGTGTGTGTGTGTGTGTGTGTGTGTGTGTGTGTGTGTGTGTGTGTGTGTGTGTGTGTGTGTGTGTGTGTGTGTGTGTGTGTGTGTGTGTGTGTGTGTTCACACACAACAACACACTCTCTCCTTCCGTGGCTTCCACAGTGCAAAAAGAAACTTGTAAAATGTCTTGTTTACACCAGTGGGCGTTCACCCTGAGCACGTGTTCGGCTCAGTCCAAATATAGGGCAGTGCTCCACACCAGCATCTGTTTCCATGGCAACCGATCTGGTACAGAGCTCAAAGTTGAACGACAGCTTTAACTCTTAAATAAAAATAAATAATATCGATGTTCTTTTTTTTAATCAGTGTGTTAGATAACCGCCTCAACGGTTTCCACGGCAACCCGGTGTGTGTATAAGTACACACACACATTTTGAAAAGCAGCTTTCAAACACTTGATGAGGCACAGTGAGAACTCAGTGTGTGTGTAAATATGCTGTTGCTCAAAAAAGGGCGATGTAGGATGTCATCATCAGCCTGTACCTGAATGGGATGAATTATGATCAAACCACAAATCAATTAAAAACTCATTTCAATTATTGAATTTAACTAAATACTCCACCCTGTTTGTTTACATGTATTCAGGGTCTTTTGCACCTTTTATTTAAATGCTGTCCAGTTCACTTTGTGTCAAACACTTTTTTGTGATAGGGCCGGGTTTAGTGTTAGTTTTCTTTGTGTGGAGCAGGTGGGAGAAGTACTCAGATCTCGTACCTAAGTAAAAGTAGAAGTACCAGAGTGTAGGAATACTCTGATATAAGTAAAAGTCCTGCATTCAAAAGTATTAGCATCAAAATATAGTTAAAGTAGCGACAGTAAAAGTAGTCATTGTGCAGATTGGCCCATTTCAGAATAATATATATGATATGTTTTATAATGATTGATAATTAAAGTGTTATCAAAGCAAAACTTATCTCGTGCCCTCATTGGTCATGTGCGCGTTCGTGTGTGTTGGAGGAGGGGCTCTGTAAGGAAGTCTGAAGGAAGGGGCAGATTTTTTTCGGCTGCGTACTTTCAAATTCTAGCGCACTCGAGCTGGTTTCTCCATTCTTACCTACCCTACCTTTAAGTACAGTACTTGAGTAAATGCACTTAGTTACTTTACACCTCTGGGGTGGAGGCATGCCTATCAAAAAGTGATAAAAGTTTGGTTGATAGGATGATTTAATTTGGTCAGTTTTGATTACTTGGAGTAATGCATCTACTACACAAATCTTTTTTTGAGGGGCAGCTCAGCCAAATAGTGCATCTGCTGTTGCTAGGGGACTTTAGTTCGGACTTGCTTTTTTCTCATTTATGTGTGGTATTTATCCATGATACAAGTATATGTAATATAAAGAATAAATGACAAGCCAGTATCAGTGTTAAGTTTTAGTAGTTTCAAGTAGTCTAGCTTAATCTACCTGAGGCCTGTACTACGAAGCCGGATTTTCGCTTAGACGGCTAACTTCAGGGAAAACTCGGGCTTTCCGGTCCTACGACGCTGGTTCTCTTTTTAGCGGGCTAGATCTCCATGGTAACTTATGCTGAACGGCTAACCTGGTCGGGACCAGGTTAGGTTGCAGGCTAGAGATCAACTCAGTGAAAGCACCGCCTGCTGACCAATCAGAGCTCCGTGTGCGGAGTTTAAAGCGATCAAGTCATATTACAGGATAGAGGAAATACAGAAAAACTGCCGTTGCAGGAAAGACGGCCGGCCAAAATCAACTGACTGTGTGAACGTGAAAATTAATAGAATATCCCCTCCCATCTTCAGAGCCATCTGACTCCCGGCTAAAATGATTGGTCGTGCTTTTTACAGTACTTCGGCTTCCACAGATGACATTTTTTTATGGATTTTTTAATATATTCATTGCTATCGGGATGTTAAGAGCATTCCATGGAATATAACAAAAAGTGTATCTCGAGCCGGTTTCTCAAACTTACCTACCCTACTTTTAAGAAAGCTTACTTAAATATCTGCCACGACATAAGTAACCGGATCAGAGTAACATTAAATACAGAGTGCAGACGTCGATGTGTCCCATTATCATTCATATCATATCACATCATAATGTATCATATATTTCCTTATTTGAGTCAGCTTCTTGAGCCGTATCTGGCCGTGCAACACTCACAGTGTCACATACTGTATGCAGAAGTATTATTTTAAGCAACACATTAAGTTGACGAAACACTCGAGTCAAATTCTCCTAATTAAAGTCAGATCCACTCGTGTCTTGGACGGGGCAGTGATTTCATAAACCTGTTAATGTACGCATTCAAACGCTTTTTCTTTTACCAGCTGTATTCACCTTGCAGGTGCAGCTATGTGGCTTTTATCCTGGATAAAGTGTTTAAGTCATGGATGTTTAAAGTCTTCATATTTGTCTAATATTATAGTTCACTTTTCATTCAGGAAGTATGACGCTGCGCTGTCAGTACGCTTCTCCATGTTTGTGATTGGTCAAATGTTGCTAACCCCGCCCCTTTCATGTGAACGCGCACCTAACTAGATAGGACACGGCTGGCTTGAGCGATCCACTTGATAACCAGCGTCGTAGGACCGCTTAGTGAGAGCGCGTATGTTTTGGATTGGGCCAACCGGCTAACTCAAACATATCCAGGTTAGGTTGAACCAGCTTCGTAGTACAGGCCTCTGGAGTTATCAGAGGTTTATTTGGATAAAATCTGGATTTCTTCTCATTAACAAACCATTACAGTAATATCTGGTGGGTTTGAATCCAGCGCAGAACAGTTCATTCATTTTTTAATGTTTTTGGCTCCGCTCCATCACACTGAAGTCAATTATTTCTAATGTTTGTGTCCTTTGTATCATTTTCCAGGTTGCAGTTCAAGTTCCGTAGGGGCAGCCTCCCTCCCATGATGCCTTTAGAGTTCGTCGGCTGCATCGGAGGGTGTGACGAGACGCTCAGGGAGGTGCTGAACCTGAAGTACCTCAGAGGAGGAGGAGGACGAGGTAATGGTGGAGGAAGAGGAGGAGATACTGTTTTGTTTGTGTGTTTGTTTTGTTTTTAATTATTATGTGTTAAATGTGAAGCACTTTGAATTGCCACTGTGTCGTAAAATGTGCTATACAAATAAACTAACCTGGAACCTTGAACCTTGAGGAGGAGGAGGAGGAGGAGGAGGAAGAGGAAGAGGAAGAGGAAGAGGAGGAGATGATCCCCGTCCTCCAGCTCCAAGGCCCCCGAGACCAGACCCACCCAGAGCCCCAGTTTCAACCCCTCGTCCCCCCGTCCCCGCCTGGACCCCGCAACCCGGACCCTCGTCGGGAATTAGCGACGCCATCGTGTGTAACTGTGGTCAGGACGCCGTGCAGCTGACGGTGCGCAAAGACGGACCCAACCAAGGCCGTCAGTTCTACAAGTGCAACGCCGGCACCTGCAACTTCTTCCTGTGGGCGGACGAGCCGGGCCAGCAGGGGGTCCCAGTGCAGCCTCCTCAGCCACCAAGACCCTCCCTGGGGTTCAGAAACGGACAGGCGGGAGGCAGAGGGCAGGACGGGGGAGTGGGGGGACAGGGGGGACAGACGATGTGTAACTGTAACGAGGAGGCGGTGAAGCGCACGGTGCAGAAAGACGGACCCAACAAAGGACGCGTGTTCCACACCTGTGGGAAACCCAGAGAGCAGAGCTGCAGCTTCTTCCTGTGGGCGGACGAGAACGAACCTCCACCAGGTGAGGCACACACACACACACACACACACACACACACACACACACACACACACTCTATCTGCATATTGAAGTACGAATGCGCTTTCACACCGGAGTACTTTTCCCGTTTAGTTCCGATAGTTCCTGGGATTTTGTGTTCACACCAAAAAGAGAACTTAGTTCATGAGAACTTTTACCCCCTTTTTAGTGCCTGCTAGAGAGGTGGTACTATCCATGGGAGAAAAAAGTTCCAATTTCGATTGGCTGGGCGAATTGCAAACCACGCCCCGTAAAACTCGGAAAAGTTTTGTGAAGCCGCCATTGTATTTGCTGGCATTAGCATTATTAGCATTAGCATTAGCCCTGCGCACCAACGGAGAGAGACTAACTTATGGCAACACAAAAGAAAACATGGGAGCGGTGGAGTGATGAGGAGGTGTCGGCGTTCTGGCGATTTACTCTGAAGGCTTCAGTAGAAGCTGCTGGGAGTCCCAGCAGCTTCTACTGAAGCCAGTCCCCAACTCCGGGGACTTCCGGCCGGGGACTTCGGTAGGCAGTATACGCCGTGAAGTTGTTTGCGGCCTGCCAGTAAACCCAAAGCAGAAGAAGAAGAGGAAGAAGAAGTGACGTCAGCGGCTCATTTGCGTAATCTTCCCTCAGGGACTTATTCCGGTGTGAACGCAATCTGCTCTTTAGTTCCATGGGGGCACTAAGTGCTGGGAACTAAGTGCTGGGAACTAAGTACGGCAAAGTACTTGGTGTGAAAGCGGCTATTGAACCTGTATAATGACAATAAAGGATTCTATTCTATTCTATACACACACACACATTTGAAAGATAGCGGGACTTTTCCACTTGTCCGTTTACCTTCTCTTTCTCTTGCATTACAAGCAGACTCATATTAAAGAAAATAAACACTAATTAATTTGTTCAAACACATGATACATTACTGACGGTAAGTCCTGTGCTTTTAGTTTGATTTGAAGTGAAACAAGACACTATGATCCGCCTCATCTGTACTTTGTGTTCTGCACTTGTCAGAATGCTGACCATAGCTGTATAAAGAGAAATGGATATAGCTTGTTTGTCACTATGAAGCTGTGGCACATGAAGCTCTAAAGAAGTGCAGAGTATTACATGAGTAATCTTGCAAATTTAGTGGCGCCATAGAGCAAGTGTGCTCCTTTTTAAACTGCCTCCCAATCGCTCAGCTAGATTGTTAACTACTAATTCTGAGTGTGTTAAATATAGATCACAGACACAGCTTTGTTGCATAAATACACATAGTGGCATTTCAAACCACAACATTACAGTTTACCTCGGGGGACTTCCATCATCACATGTTGTTTGGTTTCTGTCCGTGTCACTTCTCAAATCATTACACTTCACCATTTACTACCTCTTTCTCTCTCTTCCATATGAAACGTTACAGACAGTAAGTGCAGTGCATTTCGTTTCATTTCTCACAGTTAAATGTCAGACTGTATTAATCTGGCTGTCAAAAAATCGACATCTTGAGGCAGCTCGTGCTATATGCACGCTTTGTAAAACACACAGAGTTTATTTAAACATCTTAACACGAGTGAATACAAGATGTGCACAGAGAGAGAGAGAGAGAGAGAGAGAGATTTTTTCCCTCACACATATATTTTATTCAACAATAAAGAAAAAGCTGTCACGACTCACAAACACTGAGACCTTGAGGCGTCCACTTGAGTAGAGAAATGTGACGTTGTGTTTCACCTCTGTGACAGTGTCGTTCGGAGGAGGAGGAGGAGGAGGAGGATTTAACGGAGGAGGAGGAGGAGGAGGAGGAGGATTTAACGGAGGAGGAGGAGGAGGAGGAGGAGAAGGATTTAACGGAGGAGGAGGTGATGTTGGGGGAGACGGAGGGAGGAAAGGGAGGAAGACCTCAGCTAAAGACGCTACAAAACCTCCAGCTGCGAAGAAGCCCCGAACCTGTGGGATCTGCCACATGCCGGGACACACCCGCACCACCTGTCCCCAGCGGTGACCCCCCCTGTCCCCAGCGGTGACCCCCCCCTGCAGAGAGACACTTTGTAGAGGCAGGTTTTCACATATGCAACCATAAGCACCTCTTTCATGGACACGGAGCTCTTCTTCTTCTGTGGTTTCCCCCCAAAAAGCGACTCCAAATGGTCCAGCATTTTTCAGATGCATGCTACACGTTTTGAACTCTGTTTGAACTCTACCAGAAGAAAGGAGGAGTACGTTTAGACGTTTTCTAAAGCCTGCTTGGTGGTGTGCTCAGTTTCCTGAATGTCCCTCGAGAGTTCATGTGAAATGTGCTCAGCTGACTCAAAATGAACACGTCGTCTTTTGTTAAATGTATTTACAGTCCTGATGAGATCCTGACTCCTGAATACATGTGTTTTTAAGAATTTGCACACAGTTTCTTAATAATTAACGGTGGTATTAATATGTTTACTTTTGATCATTGTCACCGTCTCTTACAGCTGTTTAAAGTGGGTTGATTCTTCAAGGTCGAAGAACAGCAGAATGTGTTTATATTTTGTAAATATAATGAGTGCAAAAGACTCTGTAGCTCTGAGGCATCGTCAGTACCAAAGGTTTTATTTGAATATTGATGAATGCTAATAAATATACTAAAGCCTTCCTTGGTTTTTTTGTATCTTTCCTGTCAGAGGTTGAGTTTCGGGCAATGGTTTGGTTTTTCCTTTGTTCCACTGGTTTTGGTTTTGTTTTGAGTCTTCAACTTTGATCCAGCTACATTTTAGAAATGAAACCAAAACCGAGATGTGTTTCTTGCTACTGAACATAATAAACACAACACATGACATGACTGATAAAAGAGTTTCAGTTTCTGCTAAACGCGTTCATGTTTCCTCTCTTCTTCCACTCCAATGGTAACATAAGTACTGAAGTCCTTTGACTAAATATTGGTAGTACTACAGCACTTTAGAAATACTTGCATAAGTATTACTAGAAGTACCCCTGTGCGAGTTATGTCAATACTATAAGAAAGCAAAACAATAGGGAAAATAAAAAAAGGGAGAAATTAATTAATTACATATTTTTAAAGTAGAAGAATGTATATGCAAACAAATCTAGAGATACTTATAGTCTATAAATGAATACAGAAACAAATGCCCCATAATAGAGGAAAATGCCTATAATTAATACAATATATTTTTTTATAAATTATAATTAATAACATGCAAATGAAGGGAAAAATAAATAAATGGATATATATATTTAAATGTCATATCATTAACTTCAATCATGGCATATATACATTTTTAATAATTACATACTAAAACCGAATTAAAGGTGGGGTAGGTAATTCACTTCAGAAACACTTTTTGTTATATTCCATGGAATGCTCTTAACATCCCGATAGCAATGAATACATTAAATGCTTTGACAATGAATAAATCCATAAAGAAATGTCATCTGTGGAAGCCGTAGTACTGTAAAAAGCACGACCAATCATCTGAGCCGGCCCGGCTAAAATAACTGGATGGCCTACCTGCCTGTCAGCCTTCCATCTGCACAAACTTATCTCGTGCCCTCATTGGTCATGTGCGCGTTCGTGTGTGTTGGAGGAGGGGCTCTGTAAGGAAGTGGCAGATTTTTTCCGGTTGTGTATTTTCAAATTCTAGCGCACTCGAGCTGGTTTCTCCATTCTTACCTACCCTACCTTTAAGGTATGAAATTACTCACTTCTAGTGGCAATCTCTGCAGAAACATCTTTCTGTAAAGTGAAGCACAAACATTCAAATATAGGAACAAAATATTTTTTAGTGGAGGGGAGTTTTGAATAACTTTATTGGCTGTTTCCATGTTATTCAAATTGCTTATACATTTTTTTTTTTTTTGGTCACATTTATGTATTTATCTTTCAACATTACTTTTTTAGTCGGACAGTTTTATTCTTTTTTTATGGTGTTTATTATTTGTTAACTGTTTTTAAGTACTTTGTTAACTACAGCTGTCAAATAAGGCAATGCACGTTTTTTTTATATGGCACCTTTCAACACAAGGCAATTCAATGTGCTTTACAAATATGAAAGACATTAAGAAATAGTGACGCGGAAACACAATAAAAAATGCTATTTAAAACCAGTATAAAACTATAAAGGTAATGGAGTAGCAGTGGAAAGTAGCATAAATCCAAACACCTCAGAAACTTTCCACTACTGTCCCTGGTTTTTTCCTGCATGCATGCACACTGTGTGGGTGTAACTGGTGCCAAATGTTGAATGTTAATAAGTCTGTTGCATAAACTGTTAAATATTTCCCCTGATCATACATGTCAGGCAAAGTTTGCTTTTGTGTTTTACTGTAGAATGTACTTTTAATTATGTTCCCAAAAGTCCTGCCTCTGTAACACATATTCAAAGTGAAATCCCTCCAGGGTTAAGGTACAAAGGAAACGCATGTATTCCCGGTATGAGGCAGTAAATGACCCCTCTGTACTGTTCCCCTCCCTCTCTGTTGTTATTATTCCAGAGAAGCGGCGGTGATTTTACCGTCACGTCTGGTGAGTCATGCGTGAGTCAGAGCCTGTGGGAGGGAGAGATCTGCGTCCTGCTGCCGGGTGTTTCTGCTCCGGGATCACATCCACGCCGTAGTATCCGGGCAGATAAGCGGTCATGTGATTTTTCGAAGAATTGCTGCTATAACCTCTCCTCCTTACGGGAAACATAAAGCGCTGATTTCCTCCTGTGTTGCAGTTTTAAAGTGATACCCTGTGCGCTGTGAAGCCATATAGCTCAGTGAGATCCTGCAGGATTACTGTGCACCCTCACATCAGTTCCTTTTAGAATCAGAATCAGAATCAGAAACAGGTTTATTACCAGGTAGTTTGACACGTAGCCTACGAGGAATTTGACTAGGTGTCGTGGTGCTGGTGCATACATAAGTAAAGTAAAAAAGGAATAAAAAAACACAGAGAAAGATTAAGACATATCTAAGGATATTGAAGTGCTAAGTGAGCAATAACATAACTAAACTCTCCAGTAAATACCTTTTAACTCTTTTAACAAGAATATTGTGCATGATAGCAAA